TGTGTTGTAGTAGAGTAGGAGCCTGAGGGCACACACTTAATATGTTGTGAAATCTGTTGTGAATGTATTGTAATAAAAAATAAAAATTATAACTACCTTAATTTTGCTGGACCCCAGTGTCATGCGTCAGTGTGTAGCGGTAGGACGGAGTCAGGCGCAGGACACAGAACTTCGTCAACGACGTACTTTACTTGTCTCAAGTAAATAAACATATCTTCCACGCAGGGAAGCAAAAACAGACTCACAATGACAACAAAACAACGAACAATCACGCACAACACCGCGAGAGAACCAGAGGGTAAAATAGGGAAACAAATTATCGTAATTTGAACCAGGTGTGTGCAATATAGACAAAACAAGTAGAACACATAAAAATAGATCGGTGGCAGCTAGTACTCCGGTGATGACTAACGCCGAAGCCTGCCCGAGCAAGGAGGAGGAGCAGCCTCGGCTGAATTCGTGACACCCAGGAAGAGTAGCTGCTGCCTTGGCATAATAAATACAAACACAAATACGCTATGCAACCAACTGTGACATGTTTTGCTATGGCCCTGGGTTGGTTTGAGTTTATTGCTGCTAGTTAGTACACTGTTGTAGTCAGACATAAGTTAGCTAGTACCACCATAGCTGCATCCAATATTTATTTGTGCCCTAGACATGGGTTGCAACTCGGAGGCTAGTGATTGTTTAGTCTAAATTACATTAACCTATACTGGCATGGAAATACAATGACTTTGCAAAAGTAGGCAAATAATTAGTAGGAAACAACTTTGCCATATTATGATGTCATCAAATTTACTTTAGAGAGATGGCAATGTTAATATTACTGTTACTAGCAAAGTTCAAAAATAGCTAACAGTGCTAATATTAGCTAGCTAAAATTCGTTGGTCCGCTCAATCTTATACTGAACAAAACATGCAACAATTTCAAAGATTTTACTGAGTTACAGTTCATATAAGGAAATCAGTCAATTGAAATAAATTCATTAGGCCCTAATCTATGGATTTCACATGACTGGGCAGGGGTGCAGCCATGGATGGGCCTTGGAGGGCATAGGCCCACCCACTTGGCAGCCAGGCCCACCCATAGACAGAAATACTCTAATTCGAATTGTAATGAGGTAGCTAGCTAGCTAACATCAGCTATGCATGTGATGGTAGTGATAACGATTATCAAAATATACATAACCAGATACATAAATAGCAGTCTTTGGTCTAGCTACCGGTATACTCACCACCACTGTTGACCAACAAACTCCAACCACCTATTCCGCATGATAGGGTCCTTCGGCAGGACATACAGACCATAGTTGTTGGCTGTGCATCCTGCTGGAAGTATGCATTGCATGGTCAATCCATAAAGCAAAGTGGGCAGAGGGGCGATTTGCATGTGGAGCTTGGCAAAATTTTACCTATTACCTTTAACATATTTCTTGACTGAAAATCTCTCTCACCAATGTAGCAAGACTATAAATGTAATGGTAAGACAGGTTTGGAAAGGAGAGCTCACCTCTTTGCTATGCTATGGCCAACATTTACCATAGGGGGGCAGCAGCTGGTCAATCCAACTCTGCAATCTCAGGGCCTCTTTCACTACCATGAAAAATACTTCAAACCTAGCAAGCACACGCATGTTGTCTTCAAGAAATGTCATTTTTTAATTTGTAAATTACAGTGTATATCTGTTATGTCGGCAAAAAAAAAAATCAGCTCCTTCTCAGGAATCAGGGCTACAATTAGCTTACTGTTACAGGTAGTTACCGTAGCTACAATACTGTAGGACTGTTAATCTCAGTGTAATAAGATACCAGTAGGAGGTAATACAACTACTGAATCTGATTAAATATAGAGGTTGCCTATCTACATGGATCTCATTTTGAAGAGAGTGTTTAGACTAGAAAGAGAGCAACGTCTGCAGAAAATGTGTCTGTGCGTGCATGTGTGTGAGCTTGCATTTGTGTCGGGTCAAACAGGTGCAGGAGGTAAAAATGAGGACACTTGGCATACTACGGTTTATTGTAGAATGAATGACAGTTTATATACAGCAGTTACATCTGGTGTATATTTGATCAATGTCTATTGGATCATTGTTATCAAGTTAACACACTGAATTCAACCTTTCATTCAGAATTGTTTTGCAAACAACCATACAAATCATACAGATGGGAAAGAAGACTTGAACATTCTTAGGACTCCTATACTGTGTGTACCTGAACAGACATGAGATTAAATATTTCTCAATTTCAGCTTTGCGACTCAAGAGCCCAACAAAGGCTTGACTGTTCAGAGGCGTGTAGAGAGATGTTCTGAGATGTTCTGTTTTCAAAGAATCATGTGGTTTGTTTCCCTGTCTCTCTCAAACCCTCGACCCCCGTAGAGCTGTGCCGTGCCCACATCCTCCCCCTGTACGACCCCCACCTAGGCCATGTTTCTTCCCCTTTACCCCTCAGCCCCCACACACACACATACTCCAAAGAACCAAGCTCTATAGCCATGCAGCTCTGGGCACTAACAAGTTACTTTTCAGAATGCCTTGGCTTAGCTGCAGCAAGGTACATTGTTAATGTGAGAAACTCTCTCGCAGGGTGACGCCAAATGCCAAGTTCAATAGCAATTATATAACAACAACCTATGTAATGAAATGCATTTCTGATATATGCCCCGACGTTGCAGTTTCATCCACTTTTAAGCACATATTTTTTACTGCACTGTAGTACAGGTTAACTTTTAAATGACCCCAACTGTATATCTTCAACATCCTGCTATGCATATCTGTGAAATGTTCTTACTGAACAGAAATCTTTCGGAAATTAAAATAGAAAAGTCAAGAATTGAGGGGATCGTTCCACCTTCTATTGAATTGTATTCCCTAGTTAGTGTGTGAAGTGAATACATCAAAGGTTGCCTGTACAAAGACAGGCATAAAGAGGGTATAAAGATATTTCAACAAAAAAGACAGCAGATGCACATGTGGGATTTCAGTGAGTGGTGGTAAATGGAAATCCCACAGTGAAAAAGCTGAAATTCAGTACTGCTTGCTCTGCCCTCATATGTAGCCTCACATTGAAATGTTTTACCATTTTATTTTCAGGACAACCAGGGCTACAAGTAGAACACAGAACAATGTGACATAAACATGTGCATTCATGAGTTTTATTGACAAATGTCAATACACAAATAAGGTCCGCCAAGCAAAAAATATGATACAAAATGAATTTATAAGAATGTTGTACATACAGAAATTGTTTGCTCAGTGGGAAATTAATATCCAACTAGTCAGTGACAACTATGTGGAGATTGGAGTTTGTGACAGCAACTATGTGAGCTTATTACAGTATTATAGACATTATGTCCTGGGATTTACTATGATAATAATAATAATATGCCATTTAGCAGACGCTTTTATCCAAAGCGACTTACAGTCATGCGTGCATACATTTTTTTTTTGTGTATGGGTGGTCCCGGGGATCGAACCCACTACCTTGGCGTTACAAGCGCCGTGCTCTACCAGCTGAGCTACAGAGGACCACGATCGTCTATGTAGCGTCATAGAGTAGCGTCATAGAGCAAAACAGAAAACATGTGCGTTTTCGTGAAAGTCTCAGCTCAAACTTTTCAGACGTTACAGACGTTTTTGTAAGAATAACCGTTTTTGGGATTCGCCCTTGTCTCACAAACACTGCTCTAGTTCAGCCCCGTTAATCATACACGCTAATCGTTGGTACTGGTGGATGCAAAAGAAATGGACAAAACTAATGCAAAAACAGGAGTCTGTAGCTCAAACACACAATGTTTAAGAGGGGTTAGAAGCACTAAATCACGCCGACGTGACAGTGGGACTCAAAAAAACATTCTGAAAATGTTGCTTTAAGGTTGTGAACACGTAAATGTGAACTACTATATTTTCTATCAAACAGCAATATTGGTCATTAATTTTAATATCAAATATAGGCTACATATCGCTTTATTGTAGAAACAGTGACCTCCAAGCTGTTTCACTACATCTTACGGTAAAGTTCATGCAGTGTTGAAATTGTCAAGCCTTAGTAGAATTTCATTGACAGAGTCAATTCATTTAGATTTTCTCAGATATCTTCATCAGTTATAGCAATGACAGAAGTACTCATTGTGCATCATTGTTGGTTGTCTGTGTATTACTTTGACATTAACTGGAATTAAGGTAGCTGGATCTGCAGCCGTGCTCCAGTACTCAGTGCTGCTGCAGCTGGTCTAGGTTACACACCTGGGCAGAGAGGTTCGGGTTAGGAGAGGTGATCAAGACTTGGCAATTGTGCAAACTAGTCACACCAGAAAAAATGAGACCATTTTAAATGTGTTGGTATAAAACAACACAATATAGTACTAAAATAGTGTTGACAAGCACTATTTATACAGACTCTAAATACTTTCGACCTTGACTGAAATTTCTCTGCCAGTGGTTCTAGAAGTCCATGGGTTGGGACATAGAGGAAAGTCATTGTTGATATTATGAAACTGTTCACTTTCTGTTGCTCCATGAGTGTTACTTTATTCTGAATAGATACATCTTTGTGTAGCATCTCGTATACTGCAAAGCAGTAGCAGTAGGCTATATCCCTGATGAAGGCTATCGCTGGTGGAGTAAGTTTCTCAAAACCAAGTGAAATCACAAAAAAAGTGTGTGGACACTTCTACAGCATGCCATTTTCATCAAAAGTAGAGATTTGGTTAAAGACCATATACAAACTTCCAAAGTTATTTTTTATATTTTTTATTTATGTGTTAATAGTGTATGATACAGTGATCTCTTAAGTGACAAATACAGACAAAACCTTCCAAACAATCAACAAGAGCATATAAAGATTATTTCTTATTTGGGGAAAAATTACACATACATTGAATATCATCTAATCTCTACATTACAAGTGTGTGTGTGGCTCGCTCTCTGATAGGCCTGGTGTGTGGCTGTGTGTTGTCACATAGGGGTGTTACCCAGGTGACACTTCAGTTCCTCCCCTGTTCTCTGGCAGATGCATTAAGGGGAAATAAAGCACTTTCGCCGACCCCCAACTAACACTCGAGACAAACACCACAAGTCCACAACCACTCAAGATGACCCCATTGGGAATGGTATGGACAGTGGTGTGTTTGTGGACAACAGGTAGGACCGCAATATTCTGTCTACACACTGTCAACAAGTTATTCTCTGTTGAGGCCTCAGGAACAGGATTAGACCTACCTTGACACCGAGTGCAAGTCAGAGTGTTAAGTGTGTGTGTTATTTGTTATTTGCTTATCATTCCATTTGTGGAAAGGTCGTTATTTCTGACTAGTCTTGTGTATTTTTGCAATAAGGTTTCACACCAGAAAAGGTTAAGGGAGTTAATGGAGCGTTGAAGAGGCCCCTGTGTTTTCTTTAAGTTTCTTTATATAAAGTTCTTTAAAATATTTAAGTGATTTGAGTGATATGTTGTTTTAGTCTGTGATGATCGAATAACAGTAAATAAAAACAGTATGCTGGAGCCAAAATGCACAGACCCTCAATATTGTCTCCAAGACATGACTGAAATTCAAAGACGACCAAGAGGTATTCTTAAATCTACGAAAGCTCTGCAGTTAAGATATTTATACATATTTCTGTGGACATTACATATAAAGAAGCCAAGCAAAACAGTTCAGCAGTGTCTAACACAATGTTTGCTTCATAATGTCGCCTCGATAGATAAGTCTCTCCTCTAACCTTTTATTTGTGTTTCTTCATGGTTCCAAGGTGCTATCATTTAACATTTCCACTCTTGCAAAACTACTGGTTTGATGATAGTGTTGGTTTGTGCATGTTTAGGTTATTTGCTTCATTTTACATGGAGCAGTCTCAAACCTTCTGTTTTCTTTCTGTCTTTCTAACTTACTATATGTATTTCAAGTATAATGTATCTGATTTAAATAAACAGGTTTTCACAACACTGGTGAAAGCACAATCATTTAATTACATTGACGCACAAACAGACAATGTTTCAAACTTATACGGCTCTTTGTCAGGTGAAAATATTGTAGGACAGCATACGTGTTACGGACATCCATCATGTCTTCTTATTATTTTGATCTCTGTCCAGCACGCACAAATGGCAATAGGACCTTATTCCATCAGTATTGTTTATATACTGTATGTTTCCTTTGATGTGGTGGAAGTTTGTTTAGCCAAACTAAACCTCCATTCGCGTCTCCTATCCCAGTGTCCAGCCAGACACCAAAAGAGTCCGACTTCGTCCGCTACCCCCGGATCAATGACACAGAGGTCCTCACCTGTGAGTGTTCCAGCCGCTCCTGCCAGGAGGTCTTCTGGTTCCGCACTCTCCATGGCAACCTCTGCTTCCAGTTCCTTCTCAGACTCAACAATGCTGGCCGGACCATCCACAAACACGGTGTGGACCAACACCGGTTCAAGGCCAGTCAGCGGGATGGGGGAAGCAAGATTACTTTCACACTGCGCATCATTAACATAATGGCAGAGGATGCAGGGCTGTACTCCTATATGCTCCAGAACCAGAAAGAGAATGAGCTGTGGAGGCTAGGAGTTCTTCTCAGACCTGGAGGTGAGAGGAACCCATTTCCCTGCATGGCACTGACATTTCCCATTCTTCTTATGGCTGATTAGAGATGAGAAGATTCCTGAATTAATCCAGAATTCCAATATTTCCGAGCTAGAACTAGTTACACAACAATGGAATGCACTCTCTTACACTATACTACTTTATTATTTTTTTAATGGCCTGAGAACAGACCAATTTCCTGATTTTCAATATTCTACCGAAACAGTTTAATTCAGATTTTGCTTTGTCTCTCTTCACAGAGCTGAGTTGGAATTCATTTAATTTCTAGTGAAGTCAGGACGTCAGTGGGCAATTCAGCCTTATTATCGAAAAGAAAAAGCAATTAGAAGTTAATATTCCCTTGCGCCAGTTGAGTTACCGTCTCAGCTTCTTCATCTGTCCAAATCTCCTTCAATTATCTTTTGTGTATTTCGTCTCGCTCACAGTGTGTTTTACATCCATCATATTGTAAAACACCAGAAACTCGGCCAACATTACCCCCCATCACAAAGCCCCAGCCCCAAGGCATCCCAAACGGCTGCTGCACCAAAAGCAACTACCAAACCCCAAAAGGTAAGGTTCATAAGTTTAACGAGTCTGTCCAATAAGTTGTTTGTTGTAACAAGTTGAATGTGTTAAGCTAAATCCACATTAGATTATCCCATAAATTGGTGACATCTCGTTCTCTCTTTTGGAGAACCAGGGTTATGTCTGTAACCCCAATGTTATGTAACTAGTCACGTTGATACGATATACCCCAGCTGTTTAAACATTGTTTAACAGGTTTTCTGTTGTCTTCCAGGCTGTGGCTCCAAGGTTCTCTGGCCTTTGGTTGGAGTACTATTGGCCCTGGCTGTGGCTTTGATCTCCACACTGTACTACTTCAGCCGTGAGCCACTTCTCTCCTTCCTTGCCTTCAGATAAAGCAATATAGCAGAACCAACAAGGAATGTGCTCCAGTGCTGTTTGTAATTAGCATAGTCAATTGTCAAAGATGCTGGTCATACAGGGCCAAAGCCATACTAGAGATGCGGATGCTTAACTTGGACTTTCGCATAAATTGTGCATTGTTGTCAAAGGAATATTTGTGTGAAAACTTGAGTTACAAGTAAGCATAATATATTAGGAACCCAGCCTCAGCGGCCTGAACAGCCACAAACAACATTTCAGATGTTTGACAAAGCAAAGGCAATAAAGTGCACTTGGACGTAAACAACAATAACCAAATGTATGCATTATGTATGGGATAGCTATATACATGGGGGAGGCAGTAATGTACTCATGTTTATTACAGTTACTATGCTGTTGTTCTAAATTCGTTTTTTGTATGTGCTACAGGACTACCCAAAAAGTGTCGACATCAGTTTGCCAAGTAAGTTCTCATGTGTAAACTTCACAAGGTTGTGATGACATCTTCCACTTCTCCCCTCCTCATCTCCCCTTTTCTCACAACACCATAAAATATATCTTCCTGCTTCTGTATCAATCTCTGTGACTTACTCTTTTTCTCAGAATTAGATCTGAGCCTGTATTCATAAAGCGTCTCAGAGTAGGATCACTTTGGCCTTTTAGATCACAATGAATAAGATTACAATGAATACGATTACATGTGATTGATCAGTCTTTCTCTATAATTGACACTGTCTTTGTCCCTGTATTCATCTATTTGACTATTTGTATCTGCCTCACAGGAAAGGACCGTTGAAGTCATTCAGAGCGCCCACACTGCAGACTCAGAGACAGTGCTGTATTTACTGTATGTGTCCTTACAGGGATCTCCTTCCACTTTATGAATCTGAAGACCGTTTTATCAGCATCTTCCTTTACAATTCTTTGTTCATTACGACGATGAACCAACATGAAGTACCAACTGTCTAAAAGAAAAGTCTTAGGATTCTGTTCACAATGTTAATGTCTCTGGATATGGATTTGTAATTAAGGGGATGTATCAAATATAAAACCTTTATATTGAACAGGTATTACTCTCGCATGTGCTATTATAGCACCAATGCTATGCATTCTGCTGTGGTAGCCTAATGTCATGATTATTGGATGTGTTTATCTCCCGAGTGGCGCAGTGGTCTAAGGCACTGCATCGCAGTGCTAGCTGTGCCACTAGAGATCCTGGTTCGAATCCAGGCTCTGTCATAGCCGGCCGCGACCGGGAGACCCATGGGGCGGCGCACAATTGGCCCAGCGTCGTCCAGGGTAGGGGAGGGAATGGCTGGCAGGGATGTGGGTTTGACTCCCACGGGGGGCCAGTATGAAAAAACTAAAAATACGAAAAATAAATTTAAAAGACAAAAAAAGAAAAATAAATGATGTATGCACTCACTAACTGTAAGTCGCTCTGGATAAGAGCGTCTGCTAAATGACTAAAATGTAAATGTAATGTAAATGTTTATCATGTATTGATGATAAATAAAAGCTATTTAAAAAAAAAAAAACATTACTTCATGTCTACGTACTGTCATCTTATCCAAGGGACCAGAAGAGAGAGAGAGTGTGTGTGTGTGTGTGTGTGTGTGGGGGGGGGATTTCCTTGTTTAGCTGTTGAGTAGGAGACTTCTAATCTGACTGTGTGTGTTTAAACAGAAACATAATCAAGCCTGCTCTCCACCATTTCACTTCATATTGCGGAGAGCAGGGACATTCTGTAACACTGTATATATATATATATATAGTCTTTATTGATGTCAACCACAATATTAGTCTACATGATAAACATAAAGATAACGCTTGTATAAAACAGCATGCACACCTGTAGCATTTCAATGGGTTGATCAAAAACATCTGTCTTCGGTGGTTCTTCAGGTCTCGATGAGTGAACAAGACCCTTTCCTGTGTGACAGAGAAAGAGAGAGAGGAGAGAGAGCACGCTGCGCACATTGAGATGCTATCGCTCTATCTAGCTCGTTGTTCTTTAAACTTTGAGCCCCTCATCTTGACGCTGAAACAAAACAACCGCAGAGCGACCACAGACCACGCCACAGAGAGAGACAGAGAGCGAGAGAGCGAGAGAGTGAGAGAGAGAGAGAGACAGAGAGAGAGAGAGAGAGAGAGAGAGAGAGAGAGAGAGAGAGAGAGAGAGAGAGGAAAAGAGAGTGAAAAGGAATGAGTACATTGTCGTCAGACATTACAAAACCCTCAACTTTATTTAAACTCCTGTCATTGCGTTGAATGTCTATTGTTTATTTTTGATATTGTGTCCTAACAAAAGAAATTGGCAGAGTTGACTGCAGTGGATGAGATGGTGGAATTGGGCATCAGAAAAGTGCACATGGAATTGTAGTTCATAGTTACACTGTATTTTACAGTGGTTATTAACTAATCACTTTGTAATAATTACACTTTGGTTTCTTTGGGATTCATTGAAAAAAATCATCACTATGTATTTGGTATAGTAGCTGACGAACTATGTTTCTTTGACATTGCTACCATATTATTTCCTATTAAATAAATAGGAAACACTTTAATTTACAGTCTTGGGTAACACCAGTAGAAACAGGACTGTCAAATAAAGAATTACCCAGTTCACTTAAATCAAGCATTCTATGTACTCTGTTTATCAACATGTTCCGGTTTAGTGCACACGTTCACAACAGTCCTAAGCCATTGCGTCTATCTGGAATGGTATGTGGTTATCCTGAAGAGAGATGTGCGGAAAGTTGAAAAGAATCTAAAGATATTCTAAGAATACTAATAACTTTAGAAGAAATATGAATGCTTGTTGCCGGAGCATAATATAACTTGACAGTGAAAACTATCATTGAAAAGTAATCCTGTCATTTAATCCATGATTTCTGTTTGAGCATAGTACAAAGAATGTATATCACTCTTATAAATATACACTTAAACAAACACTCAATGTAATATCTATCAATATAATATTAGGATTACATGAAACACAATAGCGCTACTAAAATTCTTCTTCTCTTTTATTTGCTTTGAAAGATATTTGAAAAGAGAATGAAACAATCAAACAATGATATTGTGATCAGAACAATAGTACTATATTTAGTTAAACAAATATATAATATATAGTACAGTTAATCCTGTGTACAAAATCTAATGTATGGTTGAAGATATAATTTTGTATATTTCTGCCAGTCTCATAATTTGTAGTCTCATAATTGTATTAATTTATATGTCCTTCTACAGTAGCTATAATCGTTAACTTGGGCACATCCATTTCTGTTACTATTGCTACACAAAAAGGCAATCTACAGCAGTGGCAAGAACCACTTTTATTTACATTTTTCATTGTTTCATTTTCCCCAAGCTTAAGATTGATACAAATAGCTTTTGGGAGATAAATAATTATTAAAAGCTATCATATTCTGTACACCCCTATATCACACATTTGGTGAAATTCTTTACCAAACATTTTTTTTTTGTACATTTAGCAGACACTCCTATAAAAAGCGACTTACAGGAGCAATTTGGGTTAAGTGCCTTGCTCAAGGGCACAGACAGATTTTTCACTTAGTTGGCTCAGGGATTCAAACCAGTGAAATTTCGGTTAATCGCCCAACACTTTTAACCGCTAGGCTTCTTGCCAACCTATGATTGGTTAAGTACTGTAAACAACATTGAAATATAGTTCACCTTACACAAGTGATTAATTAAACAATGCTAGACAAAACATTAGGCAAAAATAAAATATGAAGTGCTGTATACAGTTTAGTCCTAAACAAACACAGACAAAGCATTAGCAAAAAACGTAACATATATGTTAACACAAATTTTTTGAAATAACAGAAACTATGTCATCCATGATAATGAATATATCTCAGACAGTTTAAACTGAGTACAAATTATTTTGAAGACTGAATATTTCAAATCTGCATCTTGAAAGGCCTCATGTCATTGCCATCGGCATTCCCAAAAACAAACAAGCCCCTTACCAAAATGTATTTAACTAATGTACTCTTGGTTAATTTACAATAGACTGATAATAGACTTGAACACTATTGTCTTACACAATGTCAATTCCATTAAATTTTTTGGTTACAGATTCTGGGTGTGTATACGTGCATGTATGTGTGTGTGTGTGTGTGTGTTCTGTGTCTGTCTGTCTGTCTGTGTTGATTATCTCGCTCTAACGATGACAGACAAGGCAAGCTATGTCACAGCTAGTCAGCCATTGCTACTTACTGTATGCTTAGTTCACCCAACTGTAGCTTCTCTGTCTCTTCTCTTCCCACAATGCATAGAGCCCCTATAAGGGCAGGGAAAATGATCCTAATACTGCTACTGTTCCATCTCAAATGAGAGGAGCCTTCTTCTGACCACATTTGAATGGCGAGTTCCTCACACTCTCTGTTTGTCTAATGTGGTGCTAAATGTTCAGGGAACTCTGTCTCTCTCCTTGGCATCCCCCGGTCATCCCTCTAGATACAAACACACACACACTGTTTGGGGTTGGAGAGCCCTCGTTGTGAGTAAGACAGGGAAGCCCAGGTAGGGGTAGAGAGAAAGCACCATGGAGGGTTAGGTGAGTCAACACAGATACAAAGGGATGGAAACTAGCTAACTGTCAGAGCCCCTATGTCTCTGTCTGACTGGCTCTTCCTGGACACCCACCATCTAACTACAGAACACACCAACACAATGCACAATCCCCCTGCTGTTATGAGTTATTGCGTCACTTATAGGCCTACAGTATTAGGCAATGACATTCAAAATGACATTCAAAATTATATTCACATTTTCGTTCCTTTAGGCTACCTCAAAGCAAGTAAAAGTGCTCTTTCCTTTTCCAAAGCAAAGGAAGGGCATGAGGTGATGCAAGACATTATTGCAACATGAACAAGGTGAGCTCATCTCTCAAATGGAAACTCAAATGGAACAGCTTTTATGCCCACAGCCGCCCCAGCTAGCACATTTGGTTCCTTGGAAGTTGTCGGAACGTATGTTTTTTGTTTCACATTGGTTGTTTTTTAAACGTCCTGAGAAGTGACAATTTCACCTGTTCTGGGAACGTTTATTTTTAGGTTGCAGGGAGGTTCTGAGAACGTTTTACTCTGGTTCCTTGAAAGTTTTCCCGGGAGGTTTTATTAACTTTCTGAGAACAGAAATTATGTTATTTTGAGGTTTTTCAATAACTTCCTTCAAACTTTCATTGAATGTTTCAATAAGACTTTTAATAACACTGCTAGCTTATTTTGGGTAAACTTTTTTTTTAAACTCCAAGCACAGATAGGACACATGGAAATTCATTTTCTTAGTCATTAATCATACAAACACATCTATTTTTTTATTGTGAAACGGCATCAGTGAGATTGGAACTTGTACTTTTCTGTTCTTTATCCATGAAATTAGTCCACTGCGCTACCAGGATGGAGCTAGTATGACATGTTTTTTTACGCATGCAATGCAGTTCATTTTAGTCTATTCAAACAGAGCCCATTTCAAAGGGAACAAGCACTCATTAAGATCAGGTCTGGCCAATTAGTTGGCACGGCCAACACACCTGAACACACTTAACAAGATAGAGGATAGAGGGAGTTTTGTTGATATTAAGAAGGGAATGTATATGTTTTTAAATAACATTCTTAGAATGTTCTCTGAACGTTACTAACGTTTTCTTGTGGTTTTTATGGAAAGTTTTCTTAATGTTCTCTGAACAATTTGAGAACGTGACTTTAAATAGAACCATGAGGAAACCTGTAGGAAACGTTATGCTGAAGTACTGAAATTCTCACAGAAGAATGTTGTTTCTTAACGTTCTCTGAATTATTTGAGAACATTCCCAATGTCAAACCAGTTGTAGAACATTCCTAGAACAATACCAAAATTGAAATTAAATGTAACCATGTTTGAATTTTTAGGAAACGTTTTGTTAAAGTAATAAAATACCAATAAATTATATTTTTATTGTCAAGTCCTTAAATGTGCTGAGAATGTTCCAAAGCCAAGCAACTATCCTGCACGATTCCCAGAAAGCTGTGGGAAGGTTGTATGCAAAATAACCATAGGACAACCACACTCTCACCAAGCTCTAAGAAACATATGGTTTTCAGAACGTTATGTGCTAGCTGGGGCGAAGAGAAGATTGCTTAATATTGAAGCAAATGTTGTAGCTAAACTCATGTTTCCACCCTTTTACAGGATGTAGGCCTATAGGCTACAGCATTGCGCCACAGGTGATGTCACTTGGCTGATCTTCTGAGTTGGTTTCTGTAGCCTACACTCTTCTGGCAGTCTGTCTTCGAGGACTCTTTCCATCAAATGTACAAAAGCTTATTTTTACATATCTTAGCCAATCAAATTTCTAACGGAAGAGAAACGAACAACCACAAACCTTTTGGGAGAAAGGATAGTGGTTTTGCTGAAACAGCGGAGTAGGACGATGTCACATGGATCTGCGTGCTGAAAATGTCATTTCCTTGCGGTTGGCAAACTGCTAATATAATGTGGGCGACACATTCGCCTACGCCAACAAATAAGCAAAAGATAGGTAATTATAACTATAGCCTGTAGGTCAGTGAAACTAACGTAATATCCATGTTGATAAGCCTATAGTCGCATGCGTAAAAGGTGGTCAATGAAGTGGATACATTAGTCTACAATGAGTCTAGGCTACAATTGAGTTGCTTTAAAAAAATTCTCGAATCCTCCTCAAAACCTAGGTCCCCACAGAGTCATTGACAACAGCGGCAGGCATTTTCATTTTCTCGACTTTAATAATCAATGGAAGTAGGCTGTTGGCTGTTTTCGCAAAATTAGAACAGACTATTTCTTGCATTTAGGGGGCGAATAACCATTTATTCACATCATTCAATATCTCTCATGAATAGGCCTTGTTATGCATGAGCCTTTATAGTTTTTGATTGAAATGTTATCAAAAATTAATGTTTATTATATTTTATTTGCACAAGGGAGGAACCCTAAATTGTCTTATGAGCAGAGCCTCACCCTTTAAAACGAACTCAAAAATGTTTAAATGAATGTTGACTCATGTCATAATATTCAACATATTATTTATTGACCAGCTGCTTACAAAATTATTGAGAATCCTCGACTAATGCAAAGCCTACTCACAATCTGTTCTTAACCTAGTGGCGGGAGGTTCAAATCAAGGCTCTGTCGTAGCCGGCCGCGACCGGGAGACCCATGGGGCGGCGCACAATTGGCCCAGCGTCGTCCAGGGTAGGGGAGGGAATGGCCGGCAGGGATGTAGAGCATGGCGTTTGCAACATTTACATTATATTTTAGTCATTTAGCAGACGCTCTTATCCAGAGCGACTTACAGTTAGTGAATACATTATTATTTTTTCATACTGGCCCCCCGTGGGAAACCAACCCACAACCCTGGCGTTGCAAACGCCATGCTCTATCAACTGAGCTACATCCCTGCCGGCCATTCCCTCCCCTACCCTGGACGACGCTGGGCCAATTGTGCGCCGCCCATGAGTCTCCCGGTCGCGGCCGGCTGCGACAGAGCCTGGATGCGCCAGGGTTGTGGGTTGGTTTCCCACGGGGGGCCAGTATGAAAAAATAATAATGTATGCACTAACTGTAAGTTGCTCTGGATAAGAGCGTCTACTAAATGACAAAAAAAAAAAAAAAAGTTAAAATGTGATAAGGAATATTGTTTCCTTCCTGTACAAGTGCTGCTGTTTTTCTATTGTGAATAAAAAATAGAATGAAATGGATGTGTTTCAAACCAGCCTATTCTAATGTACGTTTAAACCTTTTTTAGGAACACCTACTGTATGTCTGTGTGAAACTATTCCAGGAATATTTCTAATCTGCAGAACCTATCTATTAAACTTTGACATAACACTACTGACATAGGCTGTAGATTAGTGATTCACAGCCTAATTTTGACATGGTATAGGCGTAGGCTACTACATGATTAATACATTATGCTGCAAAGATAATAGTAATACAACATATAATAATATTACATTATTTGAAACCAAAATTGCCAAGTATCTAATAGCCTTTATAATTATAGACCTATTGATATTATTCGGCTATTCTTGCAATATGATGTTTCTCAACGGGGCAGCACAGAGTCACGTCCTCAAAAGTGTCTGTAATGATCTGCTTCTCTTGCCTTAAATTCCCCTTTGAAATGTTGACTCCATTCCTGTTTACGGTCTTCACCTAGTTTACGTCGCCACATTGTGCTGTGAGCGCACAGAGCGCGTGCGGTTTGCGCTCAAAACCAGCCTGTCGCGAGGCGCAGTGCGGATTGGTGGGCTCTGCTAGAGCAGCCTTGCAGACCACCTTGGGGTGCACGAGCTCTGTGCAAGACTCCTGCAATGACCGCTTTTACCAGTGATGAAAGAAGACTTGGGGCGGGGTTTAGGGTCGTGTTGAGCTCCTCATCATACCGGTTTCTTCATTCCATGAAGAAGAGCTTGAAAGTGTTGCTTTGCCAAAACACATTAAAATGAGCCAAAAGTGGATGCAGACACTTGTTTTACTGTTCTTTTGTCAAGGTAATTCAAGTCAGACTTTTTCATATTACTATACTGTAGTACGTTTATTACCTTCAGTGTAGGATCGTTTTAAAGTAATCAATGGATTTGATGTTGGCAGAATACTTGAACTCTCACAGGCCTAGTTCATACTAAGTGGCGTTATATAGGCTTGCCCTATAGCATATTATATATATTTAAATTTAAATTTGAATTGGTATTTGTTGTCCAAATCAATTCAGTGTTGTAGGTTTGTCTAGAGTGTATTTTTAAAGTGAAAGTTATTGTTTAGGCTATAGCCTTGTAAACCATAATAAAATGTATCACGTTTCAGCAATTGCATTTTTTATTAATAAGACATATTCAATAAGAAGTAATTTGTTGACTCTCTGATATGTACTTTCTTCCCTTTAAAAAAATGACAAACGATATCAGAAACTCTCCAACTGAGTTCTCTAACAGAGAAAAGGGATGGAGACCGTGTGGAGATCACTTGTGCACCGGAATCTAAGACTAAGAGCAACATGGTGATTTGGTTTCGAGTGCAGGACAACGCTGGAATGGAGTTTATTGCGTCGTTTAGTACTAAGGACGGTCAGAAGAAAACAGGCTTGGACACCAATGTCTTCAGCTACGAGCAGATGAGCAAAAACATCTTGATACTGAAGGCTTTCGAAAAGGCTCGAGATAGTGGCGTCTACAGCTGTGCGTCAATCAACGGTAACGCGCTTGTGTTTGGTGAAGTAACTCGGCTTGCTGGGCCAGGTAAGTAATAATAATAATAATATGCCATTTAGCAGACGAGTAGGCTAGCTATGCTAAATTACATAAATTGTATCAGAATAATACAGTTCTATACAATGTTTTTTTTTTTATCAGAGGTTCTTTATAGCCTATTAACAGTCTGAAAGTAATCCTTGCTAACACACTTCACTTTTTAGCTGCGACAACAACAACAACAACAACAACAACCATGATGACTACACCAATAACCACAGCCATAGAGCTAACCAGCTCTACAACTGCCAAGTCGTGCAAATGTATAATTTTTTTTTTGACATCATGGTCACAATTATTCTTATCATAATCTAAATGCCCTCAAATATTTGATAGTGTTGATTTGGATAATCAGTTGAATTTTCCATTATCCAATGGTGTTGAACATTGTAACACATTTATCCCGTTTGACTTGTGTTTTTGAAGTGGGAAAGGTGGACCCTAGTGCATCCTGTGATTTGATTGTTTGGGCTCCATTGGCTGCTGGCTGTGGCTTCCTCTTCCTCCTCCTCATCATCACTGTATGCCACTGCAACCGTGAGTCCAGCATTCACTCACCAATATACCCCCATGTACCCATGAAACACACACACACCCACCAAACAGGAGTATTGAACCAACTGATGTAAATATGCTGTCACCATTTTTCAGTTAGAATGTACTCTACATGACCAAAGGAATATGGATACCTGCTCATCAAACATCTCATTCGAAAATCATGGGGATTCATATGGAGTTGCCCCCCCCCCCCCCCCTTTGCTGCTATAACAGCCGCCACTGTTCTGAGAAGGCTTTACACTAGATGTTGGAACATTGCTGCGGGGACTTGCTTCCATTCAGCCACAAGAGCATTAGTGAGATCGTGCTCTGATGTTGGGTGATTAGGCCTGGCTGTAGCGTTAACATTTCCCTTCACTGGATCTAAGGGGCCTAGCCCGAACCATGAAAAACAGCCCCAGATCATTATTCCTCCTCCACCAAACTTTACAGTGGGCACAATGCATTCGGGCAGGTAGTGTTCTCCTGGCATCTGTCAAACCCAGATTAGTCCGTCGGACTGCCAGATGGTTAAGTGTGATTCATCACTCGAGAGAATGCGTTTCCACTGCTCCAGAGTCCAGTGGTGGCGAGCTTTACACCACTCCAGCCGACGCTTGGCACGGCGCATGGTGATCTTAGGCTTGTGTGCGGCTGCTCGGCCATGGAAACCCATATCATGAAGCTCCCCACGAACAGTTATTGTGCTGACGTCGCTTCCAGAGGCAGTTTAGAACTCGGTAGTGAGTGTTGCAACCGAGGACAGATGATTTTTATGCGCTACGCGCTTCAGCACTCGGCAGTCCCGTTCTGTGAGCTTGTGTGGCCTACCACTTCGTGACTGAGCCATTGTTGCACCTAGACGTTTCCACTTCACAATAACAGCACTTAAAGTTGACCGAGGCAGCCCAAGCAGGGCAGAAATGTGACGAACTGACTTGTTGGAAAGGTGGCATCCTATGACGGTGCCACGCTGAATGTCACGGAGCTCTTCAGTAAGGCCATTCTACTGCCAATGTTTGTCTAAGGAGATTGCATGGCTGTGTGCTCCATTTTATACACCTGTCAGCAATGGGTGTGGCTGAAATAGCTGAATTCACTAATTTGAAGGGGTGTCCACATACCTTTGTATAAATAGTTATCAACATTTTCATATTTCCATATTTCCATTTTATACATTAATTATTAAAAATATTATATCAATATTATTTATTTGTTTATTTAAAATGTTACAATTATTTTGCTTTAGGGATAAGAACGAAACGATGCCCACATCATTACAAAAGACAGTAAGTTTTCCTTCTTTAATATGTCAAACGTAAGTCCTGTTATGATGTATGCAGCCTAGAAAATTAGTAGTTTAAAAAAGAGAAGGTCCGCACTTTTGGGAGTTCTCTCCCCTAAACGGTCCAACTGAGTTTGTAGTTAGAAAGACAAGCTTCTCTTATTTCTGTCTTGTATTCAGGCAGAGAATGGGAGCACCAGGGCAACAACATCCTATAGCCAACAACAGACTTTTCTAATCCTCAACAGGTATGTCATGAATAAACTCTCCTCAACCATCTAAATATTACTTTTACATTCTAAGTTGTGAGGTGTGTTTTAGTATAGGATAAAGCAGCATGCACAAGCTATGTATGAACACAAAAATAACATATTGGTTCATTGAAAAATGATTTCACATAGTAATATGTGAATATTATTGGTCAGTGTTTATAATAAAGTAATTACAATTCTCGCTGTAAAAAACAAGACAGCCTTGTTGTTCACTAGTTTACTCCAATTAGGGAAGGGGTGGTGGGGTTGGAAATTAATAAAGGGAAATATATTTTTTTAAAGGATATGTATATATGTATGTGTATGTGTATATATATATATATATATATATATATATATATATATATATATATATATATTAGCGAGAGAAAAAAACATATGGGGGATTGGAAGTGATGCAGTCAATTACATTGATGGAAGTTACAATCTATCTGCAATATTAAAGGTGATCTACAAAACAAAACAAGACAGGCCAAAACACACCCTATTGTTTGAGTGACTACATTTTTAAAAATACCAATTGAACATATTGAAACGTCTACCTGACATTCACAATGTAGTTAGTGATGCTTACGAAACAGGTGATTTATGTAGCTTACTACATGTTTATTGTCTATTCTTCTCACAGACACTGAGAAAGAGGGACGCAAGACGGCGCAACATTGTTTCTACTATCAACCATTCAGTTTGTTCTATTATATACATTTTTACTGACACATTTGTTCTGTAACATCATTGAATTAGTAGAAATAGCATAATTCTCGCTCTCTTCATTTAATCAACATACTAGCTTTAAGTCAGGTTTGTGAAGATGATTCATGTCATTACTCAGTCTAATAAATAGAGATATATTTGCTTATAGCTTAGTTTATAATGATGTTATGAGATACTTTTCTCCTTCTGACTTTCATGGCTGGTAAATGAAACCAAAGACACAAGCTCTGCAGCAAAACTTCAATAAAACCAACGTAACATTTTCTAACTCAAATAGTTGGAATTCTTCCTGATACTCGTATTCAGTTTTGTTCTAGACTTCTATGAATGTTTGGAAGAAATGTGCGATATAAGCAATATTTCTGGAATACTTTAATGATTGTACCATAGTGTATGTAATTGTGTGTTCTTGTTGCTGTAGAACCATGTTAGAGTGAAAACCTCTTATCTCCGTTACTCTCTATTAGTAATCTCTTACAATCTGAATGAAAAGACAGAAATGGTAAAACTACATATATTTTTATTATAATGTTTTGTTTCCGACACTTGAAATCTACTCAAATTCTACCCCTCAAGCACCCAAGGCCGTTGCACAAAAAAAAAAAGACTTGAGTCGAGGTTGAACACACGTTCCCAAAGCTCAGAGGAGGAAGCAGCTTTGTAAAGCTTAGCAAAACTACTGAGCTGCTTCGTACAAAAAGTGAAAGATTTTCCTAATATTATGTTTCTAAAATATTATAAAATTCTTCCCATTAACTGCAACACAAATATACAGTAAGTTCCCTATACCGAAAGACCCTCTTACACAAATGTATTCTACTACTGTCGTGTCTTGTTTGTTTTGTTATTGTTATTCATTTATTTATTGGCGAAGTACATTTTGGTTATCCCATATTAGCTACAACAAGTATTTTTCTGTTTACGAGGACGGCAGGAGTTACTTCAGACCCATGAATGCTGAATACACACAGCAAAACACAATTATTATTCACATATTTGTATTTATTTAATTACAATTCCCATTTCCAAAATATCTCTCAAGTTTAAAGTTTGAGACCTGCACCTAAATATGTAGAATTCTGTGATACCATCTTGGGAAAATAATCCACAAAGCTTTGGACTTTCTTCCACCACAATGTGATAGCCCTTGGGACTGTGTAAATTATCCAGTGTCGTCTTAGCTAGAGTATGTTTTTACAGTATACAAACAAAGGCAGTTTACAGAAACCAATAAATGCTTTTAGAAGGCAAAGTACATACATATATAAACCCTTCTTAACAGATATTGCTTTACAGAGAGTAAATATATAGAATTGCATGAGCTCTCAGATGCATCCGTTTCAAGCAGACCATTTCCTGTAAATCCTTTTACATTTCAATATTGAAAAACTAAGGGTTATCATCAAACTGAGCAGACTATGCTGTACACTAGTGTCTTATGGTGGCTGTCAATTTAATAGAAAACTCGCTTTTCTGTGTACAACAAGATTGGACAGACATCCCGATCCTACATCCCCACTATATACTGTTCCTAAACCCAGATGACACTCACTATTACCCCAACACTGTAACAATGTTGCAGCAACTTCACTGGTACATTGGGGCAATGCAGACTGTTAGCTAGGATGGACAGTCTGTCAAGCCACTTGTGGACAAGGCCCATAATTCATTTTCCTTACAGGATTGGACAGATTGTCAATCCTGGGAAATAAATTAGAACAAACTCTTTCTCTCCCTTTCGCTCTCTCGTTCTCTCTCTTTATTTTGCTCTCCTCATCTCAAAGGAAAGAAACCAAAACTAGTACATTCTTCTGTCATGTGCGAAACCAAGCAGGAAAGGCGTTGCACACAGTATGTGTGTGTGTGTGTGTGTGTGTAAGTGTGTGATCATGTTTGTTTTTTATCCAGTATACGTTCTCCACCATTTAGAAAAATAGAATCATCACAGCAGCTCACTCGAGTGGCGCCTCCGTGTGGCAGGGGACATGTACTGCGCTAGAAACCTGCAATACATCAGAAACGTACATCAGTCAATGTCACAGGACATACATCAGTCAAAAACCTGTCATAAGATATTAATAAGTATGCTAGGCCAGTAGATTCAGACTAAATAGTATGTATGCTAGTACTTTAGGAAATAAGTTTCAATAAAGATGGTTGAGTCTTGTAGTCCTTACCTAGAGGTCTAGCTCTTGCCACCCTTATTTGTGGATGCTGGCACTACGTCTGAACTCAGCTGTCCAGATAGGTGGTCTAGGGCTGACAGATCCTCCTCCTTTTGTTTCTGAGGCAAAAGGTCAAGTCAATTAGAGGACATTGATATGGGTATGTATCTCGCATGATTATTAGGACATAATTTCATTCATGTTTTCTCAAGGTAGTTTCCTTACCTTTGACTTCGACCTTGACTTGCTCTTGCTCTACAACAAACAAAGTGGAGACATTGGTCAGAGTGGACATAACTTTAGGGAGCACTATGGTGATATGTGATATGGGAGACTTCTGGTTAACACTAAAGGGCGCTGTAAGACAATCAACAACCACTGTCTCTATAACCAGAGAATCAATGGTTAGACCGGGATTTAATCACATCAAGGGTTATATGCAATGCGGCTTTTAAATGCAATGTCCGATTGAGCTGACATATGCAGCGTGTACCGTGAATGCAATCTCCGCACCCGCAGGAACATTGCCATTTAAAGCTACATTGCCTATAACCTGCGTTTGGATAAAATCCCGGCCCTCGTTTGCCTTTACTAAACTAGCAGATTTTATTAGAAATATGTCTGAATGTTTTGAGACGTACAACTTCACTGGTTAAATGTCACTATTTTGACATGATTATTGTAATGAGACCACAGGTCCCGTGTAGCTCAGTTGGTAGAGCATGGCGTTTGCAACGCCAGGGTTGTGGGTTCGATTCCCACGGGGGGCCAGTATGAAAAATGTACGCAATCACTAACTGTCAGTCACTCTGGATAAGAGCGTCTGCTAAATGTAAATGTTGCTGCTAGATACCCTCCTCACCTTTGGCTTGTCTTCCTTGGATTTGAACTCGGGGGCATCTGGGAGCAGGGTGCCTGCCAGGTCATCCAGGACAAGGGCAGACATGGGCTAGACAGAGAAACGCAAACAGCCAGTCAATTAATTAACCTGCCAACTAACACAACATCACAGGGCCTGTATTCAAAAAGCGTTTCAGCATAGGAGTGCTGATTTAGGATTAGGTCTCACCCCTGTCTATATAATATTATTCATTATGATCTAAAAGGCTAAACTGATCCTAAATCAACCGTCCTACTCGGAGACTCACTTTGGCGGTCTGTTAGTCTGCAGTAGTTACGTACCTTCAGACTGGGCTGTCTCTGTTCTGTTGTCACGGCTACTGAGGCTGCAGCTGGACCAGCTGAGGAAGAGAAGTCATTGGACAAGAGGTTGAGGGCCTCGCTGTCATCCATCGACGGCTATAAGGAGAGAGGAAGATGGTCACTTATGTACTGTACATCCGGTTTGTTGCATTGTGTTCAATACAGTTTGACATTGTATATGACTGACCTGTGCGATTATAGATACGATTGGACATAAACCTCACCTGCTTGGGTCTAACATCAGCCTGGGCTTTGGCCTCTGCCATTGCCTGTGAGGAGAAAAGACACATAACCTTATTAAATATACAGCCTTGCTTACACCCTATATCCACCTCACAGGGTATAAACAGTTTTTTATTATTTAGTCCAAATCCAATGTAAAAACAAAAGATGAAAGTGATCAGAATGGTATAGTATTATTTATGGTTTATTGTGAAATGTTCAGGGTATGTAGTGGAGCGTAAATGCATGTAAAGGTTGTTTACCTTTTTATTTATGCATTATTAGCATTAGCATTTACATTATCATTAGCACATTAGATTAGAATTAGCATCTTCAGGATTCCCTGTTTTATTTCCTACTACTACTACTATTGATATGTTACCTTTCGGTCTTTCTCTGTGGGCCGATACTCAGCTGGAAGGCTGTCATCTCTCTCCCCCACCTTGATAAGCTTCTCCTCCATAATCTTTTTCTCCTAGGATGAGCAGAGAGCAGACTGAGGTAAAATAACAGATAGCATTAGCTCGTATTGGCTACAGGTTTAGTTGCATTGAGGTAAGGCTTCTATTTTGACCAAGGAATGGAGATGATAATCTCGAAATTCGCAGAATATTTAGCTTTAGGCAGTTTTGTTGCACAGAGGGAATTTTCCGTCACACTTTAAACTAAGTATATCTTATGTAGGCTTAATTAAGCCTGCATAAACCCTTTATAAAATCTAAGTACCTTGACGATGTCTCTGACTGAGACAGGAGCAGGCTCTGGGATAGGAGTCTTGTCCATCAGGGTGTCTGACAAGGTATCTAGAGCATCTACTGTCCCTGTAGATAGCTACACACACTGACAAGTTACAATGGAAATGTGACTGACCCGATATCTTGGACGTGAATGAAGCATAAGACAACAATGATATCACATGAAGTGTGTCTTAGTACCTGGCGGTCAACAGCAGATTTTACAGCAGGAGCAACAGCTGGGGCTACAAAGTCCTCTGCCAGGGCATCCAAGGCAAAGTCATCTGATGCCTTGACACAGAAGAGAGGAGAGATAAAAGGAAAAAACAAGAACAAGGCATGTACATGTTAATTAAGCTGTTATACTACTGATAATGAAAACACTAAGAGACATAAGCAACTAGACATAAAAACATGTATTGGATGATCATAGATTTATACAGAGCAGACCAATCAGGATGGTTTGATAAGTGAGCGACGAATGGCAGAGGGTGTTGTTCACCTGCGTGGGAGGAGCTGGGGGGCAGAGGACAGGAGCCTGGACAGCTGGAGCCACAGAGGAAGACATGAAGTCACCTGACAGGATGTTCAGAGCCTCACCAGAGTCCATGGAGGGCTGAAGAGAGAGAGAAAAGAGAGGAGAGGGAGGAGATTCCCTAGCTTCATTAATTCCTGGTTCTCTTTGGTGCTGGTTCATCCAGGATCTTTTAATATAGTGATACAGAATTTGTCCTCTTTTATCTCCCAATTACTTGTGCTTTGCCTATATGAGACCCACCTCTGGCTTGGGAGGAGGTAGACCTTTGACTTTGTCCTCTGTGAACCTGTACTTTGGTGGGAGAGTGTGGTCTCTCTCACCCACAAACACTCCCTTCTTCGATGTCAGTTTGCCCTCCTGAAGAGCAGAAATGAACACAAAATAATGTCACACACAAAATGTAGCACCTATGGCCATACGAAATGCCACATAAACTCTATCCGTCACAGCAGGAGTTGCTGTCATCTTCAGAGACTAAACAATTCAGCTATGAGCTCCATAAATAATAAAGGGAATACAAGTCAGTATACCGTGACAACGTCCTCAGGTCTGATCTTGGGAGGTTCAGGCGCTGGTTCTGGAGCAGCCAGAGAGTCTCCCAGATCACTGAGAGCCTCCAGAGACATGGAGCCACCCTGAAGACACAGACAGAGGAGGACAGAGAGGGACACAGAGGCAGAGAGGGGGGCAGTGGGACATAGGGAGGGGGAGACAAGGGGGTATATGGATTAGATAATGTGATCAATAGCACAATGGATGGTGCATAGTACAAGAATAACTGCAATACATCTCTACTGTAAAGACTAGTATTTCGTTGGTTGTTAGATAGAAACTGTAGCCCTCATTTGCCAAACCTCATCTGTCTTGGGCTTGGTGTCCAGTGGGGAGTCCAATCCTGACATCAGAGAGAAGTCACCAGCAAACTGAAACACAAACACATGTCAATAGATAACAGCTTCACAACCCAACATAAGTATAACATAGTTTGTTGTCCATTTGCATGGATATAGCTTTTTTTGATGACAAAGTACTCAACCCAACTCATCACACACACAACAGGCTGAGTAGCACAGTGTCAGCTGCAACATTGGACATCCCAGTATAACATTGGACATAAGCGTTTGTCATGGTTTATTTAGTGTTATGCATGGCTTATGTGATGTAGTCATGATGTAGGACCTGTTTCTTTGGTGTTATTTACCTTTTCCACCTTAGCTTTCTTGTCAGCGGGGGGAGCAGGAGACTTGGTCACAGGAGCAGACATAAACTCTTCAGCTTTCTGGAAGAAGAAGAAGAAGAAGAAGAAGATTATTTGGTTTGTTAAATACTGTTTCTTAGGTTCTAGTTGAGAGGAACCGGGGAAAGCTCATTTGAAGCCTTCACTAGAAGGCTGTCTTTACAGAACGTTAACATGACATAACAGTTGTCATAAGCTATTACAGCTGACACTGTGTCAAAATGAAATAAATGGTCATCTTGTATGTATCATCAATACAATATGGCATTAGCATCAGCAGTAAGTGGCTAGCAAGTTAGCTGTCCAACAAGCTAGCCTACATTGTGCTATGTGTCATTATGACTGTGCTATGTCAGTTGACATAACTTAACATTGGTTCTCATAACAGTTTACCATCTCATGCTAATGACAGTTAATATAATCTGTCTTTCTTTACCTTGATGGGAGCTGATGGAGGTGGAGCAAAGTTGGAGAAGCCAGCAGACAAGGCATCAATGGCAGCCAAATCCTCCACTTTCTGTCAACAGATGAAATATCATCGGGTTATAATGACACCTCACTTTAGGGCTGGGCGATATATCGAATTAATTCGAATGTATGCCTGTATCGCAAGAATCAAGGTTTTGTAATTTATATTTTTTATGAGCGTTTACTTCCGCTTGTTTTCGTGTTGTATTTTTAGTCTCGTCTCTTTCGCTCCTTCTGTGCACCTCCCCATTTACACCAGAAATCTATATATACTAAAGAAATGCAAGTCTCCGCCCTAACAAGTTTACGTTAAAAATAAACCCATAGAAACGCATTGGGCTTATTTTGGACAGATTTTAGCGAGATGTTCGCCTGTTCCTCTATGCTTTACACACACCAACAAGCCTTGCCTCTCACGCCAACAAAGTTGAGAGATCATATCCTCACTGACAAGCGGTTTCAACTCGCTACTTGTACTTCAGGTTTAGTGCAACAGAATCGGTCATATTGACCTTCCCAGAAGAGTGGAGCTGTTATAGCAGCAAAGGGGGGACCACTCCATATTCAGCCCATGGTTTGTGATGATATGTTTCGTCGAGCAGGTGTCCACATCCCTTTGGTCACGTGTGTATTTAGCCTAGGTTTTAACTTCAAAGCCCTGATTCATTAGGAATTGGCAACTCGTTCTCATTCTGAGAAATAAGTAGGCCACTTGATTTCAACATCTGAACAAAGTGGACATGCTAACATGCTTTTCAAACAGTTGGAGACAGACAAAGGGTGGGTTCATAACAATTCAACTGTTCAACCTTGTTAGCTAGCAAATAGAGCCAAACTGGCTACACTTGAAATATGAAGATAAACTGGCTAATCACTAGCACATGGGCTTGAGAGATTGTTGATGAGACCTGTGCTAATTTTCTATAGCCTAATGCCTGCTACAAGAAGTTAGTCATGATTAGTGAATGTGCATTATGTGATTAGGCTTATGTGATGTAGTCATGATGTAGGACCTGTTTCTTTGGTGTTATTTACCTTTTCCACCTTAGCTTTCTTGTCAGCGGTGGGGAGCAGGAGACTTGGTCACAGGAGCAGACATAAACTCTTCAGCTTTCTGGAAGAAGAAGAAGAAGAAGAAGATTATTATTTGGTTTGTTAAATACTGTTTGTTGATACACCTGCGGAAGGTGCCTTCTCTTGAAGCTGTCATGAGTCTTTGTTGTCATAACGCCACCCACTGTGCAACCGTATGTGATAAGGCCGGATCCTTACAGCTCTTGGTCATGGCCATGTGGAGAGAGGTTGGACATGGTGTGACAGGTGTCTTTATTACAGGTAAGAGTCATTTCAAATACAGGTGCAGTTAATACAGTAAGAGTGGAGACAGGAGGGCTTCTTAAAGAAAACTAACAGTCTGTGATAGCCGGAATCTTACTGGTGGAGGTGATCATACTTATGTCATGCATAAATGAATTTCTTACAATCATACAAGTGATTTCTGGATTTTTGTATTAGATTCCGTCTATCACAGTTGATGTGTACCTATGATAAAAATTACAGACCTTACAGCTTTGTAGTAGGAAACCTGCAAATCGGCAGTGTATCAATACTGTTTACCCACTGTATATGTGAATCGCCCATAGTTTGAAAAATTAAGATATTCTTTTTAGGCATATGCCACCTCATTATTATTTACAGTGTCACTGGTCAGGACCTCAGTCTCACCCGAAAGACTATGGGACTAATAATAATTCTGTAACGTTATGGATGTTTCAGGGAACAGTGCCCAAGTTGTTATAAGTGATTATAACCTGTTAATAGTGCAACGTCTCACCTTCTCCTGTTTATGAGGGATGGGAGCCATAGAGGTTGTGAACCCAAAGGACAGGGAGTCCAGAGCCTCATCTGTGCTCATGGGTTTCTGATACAAGTAAACAAACAAGCAAACAAATAACCTTAATTATACACAAAGCATTACAGTAACAGTTTTGTCTTCAAATCCACCACTAGAGAGCGTGTCAGACTAACGCCAAGCATTGAAAGGGGGCATATGTAAACCAGACCAGCAGGAAAAGAACCGACACACCCACCAATCACATTCCCCAGAATCTCAAAGTACTCCGCAAAGGACTCTGAGCAGACTTTTTACTTAACATCAGATTTATCGGTTTCAGTTGTCTTGTAAAAATGAACGATTTATAACCAATGGGAAACTCTAGACAACTCACTTTTGACAACATACTTCAGGGGTAAAAGAGTTTGCCTCATGTTCTATCAAGCTCTTAGACGCAGAGGTATACTACACAGAGAACTGCATTACAAAACAAGGTGTGACCCAGAGGGTCAATGTGTGTGTGTGTAGGTGTGTATAGGTGAATAGGTGTGGAGTAATGAGTGATTGTGTGTTGACTATGTATCTGTTGCTAGTGTGTGTGTGTTTATAAGTGATGAGTTTAGCAGAACTAGAGCCAGCTTGTTGAGGTGAGTCTAATGTTGTTTGCAGAGCCAACACCCCACAGTGCAATGCAACATTCCCAACTGTAGAGGTACCCAAAACTGTCAAAAGAGACCATGGGATGGCCTATGGTTTGTTTAGTTAATTTACTGTGTTTGTGTGTGTGTGTGTGTGCGCACATTGGTGCTGCACTAGTTAGTGGATATGTGAGAAAGATTGAGAGAAAGAGGAGAGGAGATGGGGAAGTCAATATCTCAATATTTCTCCCCAGCATACAGTGCATTCCCTAGCAGTAAATACAATGACTTACCGGGACATCTTTTGGCTTGACATCTGCAACTGGGGCCTATGAAAAGTAAAACATACATTTTTATTCAAAATAACAAAAGTTCAATAATTACATATTTTAGTAGAGTAAGCCTAGATTTAAATAAAATCTGATCATGTTCTCAAAATAATGACAAAATAATATTCAAGGGTGGTAACTATACACAGGCTTTTTTGGCCTAGTCCAGAAATAAACCCTAGTCCAAGCCCTCTACGTTGCATCATATACATCTGAAAGAAAATGATAGATATGGTAGTAGTTCCATCTTGTCATCTGATCAGCTTGGAGAAACTGTGTCCATATTGATTACACCTATCCAGTCCTCTTAGATTAACACAAGTGTCCAGGGGATAAGACAGGGGCTAGGGGTTGTTTCTGGATGGGGCTTACAGCGCATTCGGAAAGTATTCCCTTGACTTTTTCCACATCTTGTTAAGTTACAGCCTTATTCTAAAATTGATTAAATTACTTTTTTTCCTTTTTGCAAATGTAAAAAACAAAAAAACCTGAAATACCTTTTTTACATAAGTATTCAGACCCTTTGTATAAGACTCGAAATTGAGCTCAGGTGCATCCTGTCTCCATTGATCATCCTTGAGATGCATCTACAACTTGATTGGAGTCCACCTGTGGTAAATTCAATTGATTTGACATGATTCTGAGAGGCACACAACTGTCTATATAAAGGTCCCACAGTTGACAGTGCATGTCAGAACAAAAACCAAGCAATGAGGTCGAAGGAATTGTCCATAGAGCTCCGAGAGGATTGTGTCGAAGCACAGATCTGGGGAAGGGTACCAAAAAATGTCTGCAGCATTGAAGGTCCCCAAGAACACAGTTGGAACCACCAAGACTCTTACCTGAGAGTTGGCTGCCCAGGCCAAACTGAGCAATCGGGGGAGAAGGGCCTTGGTCAGGGAGGTGCCCAAGAACCCGATGGTCACTCTGACAGAGCTCCAGAGGTCCTCTGTGGATATGGGAGAACCTTCCAGAAGGACAACCATCTCTGCAGTACTCCACCAGGCCTTTATGGTAGAGTGGCCAGAGGGAAGCCACTCCTCAGTAAAAGGCACATGACAGACCACTTGGAGTTAGCCAAAAGGCACCTAAAGGACTCTCAGACCATGAGAGACAAGATTCTCTGGTCTGATGAAACCAAGATTGAATTCTTTAGCCTGAATGCCACGCTTCACCTCTGGAGGAAACCTGGCACCATCCATAGGGTGAAGCATGGTGGTGGCAGCATCATGCTGTGGGGGTCGAGGGAAAGATGAACGGAGCAAAGTACAGAGAGATCCTTGATGAAAACCTGCTCCAGAGCGCTCAGGACCTCAGACTGGGGCGAAGGTTCACCTTCAAACAGGACAACGACCCTAAGCACATAGCCAAGACAACGTAGGAGTGGCCTGTTTTTGCTTTCTCATTATGGAGTATTGTGTGCAGATTGATAACGGGGAAAAAATTATTTATTCCATTTAAGAATAAGGCTATAACGTAACAAAATGTGGAAAAAGTCAAGGGTTCTGAATTATTTCCGAATGCACTGTATCTCTCTGTTGGAAGACCTGATAACCAAGGGGTTCCAGACAAATGTGTCATGTCAAAGGGAGTACTGCAGTGCAAAGCTAAAGATACATGCAAACTCAAAGCTCTCTAACAGTAATAGGCTGAGGGTTGGATGAAGATGCAGAAGTGATGATGATGTGCAGGAGCAGTAGGAAGAAGACTTGAGGAGGAGGGTGATTTAAAGACTGACCGTGTCCTCAAATCGGTATCCTGGGGGCAATGGGCAGTCTTTCCCCCCACATATCACTCCCTTCTTTGAGGTCAATCCATGCTGTGGACAAATGCAACAACAACACACTGTTTTACATGGTGACCGGGTGGACACACATCATCACCCACACACACACACACACACTCTGTGAGGGTGCTGTACCTCTATCACCTCTGGCCCGGTGTATACAGGGGCTGCAGGGGCGAGAGGCTCTGATGAGGGCAAGAAATCAGCCAGGGCATCGAAGGGGTCCGCAGTAAGCTCCTACACATGATGCAACACAACTCAAACACGAGCAATGCAACTCCGTGCCATTCATTTTAGTGCAATATCAAACCCACATAGAGAAAAGATAGATCGCTGATTTACCTCTTTGGCTGCGTTAGCTCCTGGGGGACCTACTTCCACCTGTACCTGTAACCCAGAGCAGGAGAGGTTAGTGAATACAACACTAGGCTACTATCTGTGATACTGCTCAGCTCCTATACCCAACTGAGCTTCTGGATGGCTGTGGGCTCAATTCAACCAACCCCACATAGGTAGTACTCATGCAGGAACAAGAGCACCCTCTTTTTGCTGTAGTCAAATTTCAAAAGGCACTCGCACATCTGAGCTATCTTTGTTGCAGGTGCATTGTAACAATTGAATAACATGAGAAAAAATAAGAAACCCGCACACTGCTCTTGCTTGTATCACTGCTCTATGTTAAGCTTTTACGTATCAGCCTCAAGGCTTTCGTCAGAGCTCTGATAAAGAGCAGTGATACTAGCAAGAGCAGTGTGCGGGTTTCTTATTTTTTCTCCTGTAATCAAATAAAGTTGCAGAATGGTACAGCAATTGGCAGGTAGCCTAGCGGTTAAGAGCGTTGGGCCAGTAACCAAAAGGTTGCTGATTCGAATACCTGAGCCGACAAGGTGAAACATCTGTCGATGTGCCCTTGAGCAAAGCACTTAATTCTAATTGCTCCTGTATGTCGCTCTGGATAAGAGTGTCTGCTAAATGGCTAAAATGTAAAATGGTACAGCAGATATCCTTCACTACTTCCACTGCTTCCAAGTCCCTGTTACTGTGTCACTGTGTTAATTCATGATCTTGGTTACATTGTGTGAAAACAGTGAAAGAATGAAGATGACACAAACAAGTGATCAATGATAGCCCCCTAACCCCAGGGATAGCCCCACCCTCAAGAGCCTTGTACTGTAGCGTGGTTAATACCCCAACGTAGTCTGGAGTCTACCTTGGTCTGTGGCCCCTTCAGAGAGGCGTCTCCAGCCGCGACAGCTGGTGCAGCAACAGCCGTAACCAGCTTAGCAGGATCCTTTTTAGCCATGTCAACTTTGCTTGATGTGGTGGGCACACTCTATAAACGCATATGGTTCAGGCCATTAGACGAGGTGCAGAGAAGAGTTCAGAGAGCTGCGCATAATCTTACAGTCACAGTTTAGTGGAGTGATAGGATGATAGTTAGCACCTTATCTGTCAGAGGTAATGGAAAGGAAAGGCGCCGTGAGAAGAGAAGTACCTGAACCAAAATGTGTAGTCACAGTTTACTAGAGTAATAGGAAGGTAAACAAACCCAGAAGCAATACTAGATATGGTGTGATGCAACCAGAAGAAAAAGTAAAGGTGGAAATATATTGTGGCTTCTCTGTGGTGACAACATATGTGACAGACTTGGAAGACATGGTTTGTCTTGATGTGTTAAGCGTAACATAAAGTGTAGGCAAGCTGGGAAGACTCAGTCATAGAGCTTAAGAGTGTCTGTTCAATTCCTACTTAGACAAACATACACCTCCAGGCCAGAAGTAAGGAAGTCCAAAGCAGAGATATGTTTTGAAATATATCGCCAGAGAGAATATGAAGATAGAATACCATATAAAGGGGTGGAAGAATGACTAAAACCTCAAGATCACGGGAGAGATGATGAGGAAGACATAACACATGGAATAATGACCCAGGAAGAGAGTGTTGAATGGGGAAGTGAGGTTAAAGAGAGCCAGGCCGGGCAAAGAATAAAGATCCAAAGAGAGAGGCCCCACACTCCTCAACTGTCTGCTATCTACCTTGGCTGTCTGTTTCGGAGACTCTTGGACCTTTGGTACTTCAGTTTTCCATGGAGTTGCCGCCTCCCCTACAATATTGCCTCCTCCAGTGGTAGGAGGTGTAGCTTTGGCTGGGTGCATGGGTGCCGTCTACAATCAAGAATGAGTTCAAACTCAATGTATACAACAGAAACAGAGCAAATTCGATGTATGATGACACCCTGTAACAACGGTTAATGCAATAACAACAATTGATTTTTTTATGTAATAAAACCAGTTAATTTAATAACTAATAATAACTAATGTAATAACTTGCTATTTAATGTAATAAACAATTGGAACGGATAACCTTTTCCGCTTAATGTAATAAGTTACGTTAACCTGTGATTATTACGTTATCAGGTGAGTATCAACTCACTCTCTTTCGCTTGCTTAACACGCCCTTGCAGGATTGGACCTCTAAGAAGTGGACAACAACTTTGTTTCACCTATGATATGCTTATGAATATTCATATGTGGCAGTATAAAAGTCTCAGAGAGAGTTAGAGCAGAGAGACTCTTCAGACTCTGAACACAGACACTCATTAGTCAGCTGGGTCAGACAGAGACATTGTGTATAGCTTCTGTTTAAAACTATCAATGTGGCTGTCATGGACTGTCCATGCATCTAGTGCACTGTCTATGAATTTGAAAGGGGTTACATTTCATCAGTCCCAGCCCCATACACCAAAATAGTGGCTTCCTTCTGAAGCTAAGCAGGATTGGTGCTACTCGCTCCCTGGATGGGAGACCAAGGGCCTCATTTATTTAAAAAATGTGTACGCACAGATTTGATCATAAATTGTGGGTATGACAAAATCCACAGCAACAATGTGAACATTTGGTTGTTGAGCCAATTGGAATGTTTGATGAAGGGATGCTTTCCTCGTAGAATCCAACTAGTTATGACAAAGACATAAATACATATGGTCCAGCAACAACATGACCCACAATCACAACATCAGGTTACAGGTAATCATTTCAAGTCTATTTTACTGTAAGTTAGATGATCAGGACGATCATACTTTCTTGTATGTCAATCACTTTTTTTTTTTTAATGAAAAAATAGGTATCATAGCTAGGTCAATTTGGGAACAGAATGAGAAAGGTTTTGATAGAAATTTCACATTCAGTATATCATATAAAACAGTGTCACACTGTAGTGTGTGTGTATACGCGTCTGTGTGGTGTGTGTGTGTGTGTGTGGTGTGTGTGTTTGTGCATGTGTACATTTCAATTTGTGATTGTGAGGGTGTCTCTATACAGTGACCGTACGTACATACCCCAACCAGAAGCCATGGATTACAGGCAACATCCGCACTGAGGGACTCTAACCCGGACGCTTATAAGAAATCCCGCTATGCCCTTAGACGAACCATCAAATAATAATAATAATAAAATAGGCAAAGAGTCAGTACAGGACTAAGATTGAATTGTACTACACCGGCTCTGACGCTCGTCGGATGTGGCAGGGCTTGAAAACTATTACAGACTACAAAGGGAAGCACAGCCACGAGCAGCCCAGTGACACAAGACTTCCAGACGAGCTAAACCACTTCTATGCTCGCTTCGAGGCAAGCAACACTGAAGCATGCATGAGAGCACCATCTGTTCCGGATGACTATGTGATCACGCTCTCCGTAGCCAATGTGAGTAAGACTTTTAAGCAGGTCAACCTTCACAAGGCCGCAGGGCCAGACGGATTACCAGGACGTGTACTCCGAGCATATGCTGACCAACTGGCAAGTGTCTTCACTGACATTTTCAACATGTCCCTGACTGAGTCTGTAATACCAACATGTTTCAAGCAGACCACCATAGTCCCCGTGCCCAAGGACACTAAGATAACCTGCCTAAATGACTACCGACCCGTAGCACTGACGTCTGTAGCCATGAAGTGCTTTGAAAGGCTGGTCATGGCTCACATCAACACCATTATCCCAGAAACCCTAGACACACTCCAATTTGCATACCGCCCCAACAGATCCACAGATGATGCAATCTCTATTGCACTCCACACTGCCCTTTCCGACCTGGACAAGAGGAACACCTACGTGAGAATGCTATTCATTGACTACAGCTCAGCATTCAACACCATAGTGCCCTCAAAGCTCATCACTAAGCTAAGGATCCTAGGACTAAACACCTCCCTCTGCAACTGGATCCTGGACTTCCTGACGGACCGCCCCCAGGTGGTAAGGGTAGGTAACAACACATCTGCCACACTGATCCTCAACACGGGGGCCCCTCAGGGGTGCGTGCTCAGTCCCCTCCTGTACTCCCTGTTCACCCATGACTGCATGGCCAGGCACGATTCCAACACCATCATTATGTTTGCCGACAACACAACAGTGGTAGGCCTGATCACCGACAACGTTAAGTATAACATAGTTTGTTGAAGAGTTTGTTTTCCATTTGCATGGATATAGCTTTTTTTGATGACAAAGTACTCAACCCAACTCATCACACACACAACAGGGTCAGCTGCAACATTGGACATCCCAGTATAACATTGGACATAAGCGTTTGTCATGGTTTATTTAGTGTTATGCATGGCTTATGTGATGTAGTCATGATGTAGGACCTGTTTCTTTGGTGTTATTTACCTTTTCCACCTTAGCTTTCTTGTCAGCGGGGGGAGCAGGAGACTTGGTCACAGGAGCAGACATAAACTCTTCAGCTTTCTGGAAGAAGAAGAAGATTATTATTTGGTTTGTTAAATACTGTTTCTTAGGTTCTAGTTGAGAGGAACCGGGGAAAGCTCATTTGAAGCCTTCACCAGAAGGCTGTCTTTACAGAACGTTAACATGACATAACAGTTGTCATAAGCTATTACAGCTGACACTGTGTCAAAATGAAATAAATGGTCATCTTGTATGTATCATCAATACAATATGGCATTAGCATCAGCAGTAAGTGGCTAGCAAGTTAGCTGTCCAACAAGCTAGCCTACATTGTGCTATGTGTCATTATGACTGTGCTATGTCAGTTGACATAACTTGACATTGGTTCTCATAACAGTTTACCATCTCATGCTAATGACAGTTAATATAATCTGTCTTTCTTTACCTTGATGGGAGCTGATGGAGGTGGAGCAAAGTTGGAGAAGCCAGCAGACAAGGCATCAATGGCAGCCAAATCCTCCACTTTCTGTCAACAGATGAAATATCATCGGGTTTTAATGACACCTCACTTTAGGGCTGGGCGATATATCGAATTAATTCGAATGTATGCCTGTATCGCAAGAATCAAGGTTTTATAATTTATATTTTTTATGAGCGTTTACTTCCGTTTGTTTTCGTGTTGTATTTTTAGTCTCGTCTCTTTCGCTCCTTCTGTGCACCTCCCCATTTACACCAGAAATCTATATATACTAAAGAAATGCAAGTCTCCGCCCTAACAAGTTTACGTTCAAAATAAACCCATAGAAACGCATTGGGCTTATTTTGGACAGATTTTAGCGAGATGTTCGCCTGTTCCTCTATGCTTTACACACACCAACAAGCCTTGCCTCTCACGCCAACAAAGTTGAGAGATCATATCCTCACTGACAAGCGGTTTCAACTCGCTACTTGTACTTCAGGTTTAGTGCAACAGAATCGGTCATATTGAAGCCTTCCCAGAAGAGTGGAGGCTGTTATAGCAGCAAAGGGGGGACCAACTCCATATTCATGCCCATGGTTTTGGAATGAGATGTTCGTCGAGCAGGTGTCCACATACCTTTGGTCACGTAGTGTATTTAGCCTAGGTTTAACTTCACAAGCCCTGAATTCATTTGATTATTGCTGACTGTTTAAAATGCAGTGTATTTGACCTTTAATTGTACAACAACATTTATTTAGAGTAAACATAAAAAAAAATTAAGATATACAGTGGGGAGAACAAGTATTTGATACACTGCCGATTTTGCAGGTTTTCCTACTTACAAAGCATGTAGAGGTCTGTAATTTTTATCATAGGTACACTTCAACTGTGAGAGACGGAATCTAAAACAAAAATCCAGAAAATCACATTGTATGATTTTTAAGTAATTGATTTGCATTGTATTGCATGACATAAGTATTTGATACATTAGAAAAGCAGAACTTAATATTTGGTACAGAAACCTTTGTTTGCAATTACAGAGATCATACGTTTCCTGTAGGTCTTGACCAGGTTTGCACACACTGCAGCAGGGATTTTGGCCCACTCCTCCATACAGACCTTCTCCAGATCCTTCAGGTTTCGGGGCTGTCGCTGGGCAATACGGACTTTCAGCTCCCTCCAAAGATTTTCTATTGGGTTCAGGTCTGGAGACTGGCTAGGCCACTCCAGGACCTTGAGATGGTTCTTACGGAGCCACTCCTTAGTTGCCCTGGCTGTGTGTTTCGGGTTGTTGTCATGCTGGAAGACCCAGCCACAACCCATCTTCAATGCTCTTACTGAGGGAAGGAGGTTGTTGGCCAAGATCTCGCGATACATGGCCCCATCCATCCTCCCCTCAATACGGTGCAGTCGTCCTGTCCCCTTTGCAGAAAAGCATCCCCAAAGAATGATGTTTCCACCTTCATGCTTCACGGTTGGGATGGTGTTCTTGGGGTTGTACTCATCCTTCTTCTTCCTCCAAACACGGCGAGTGGAATTTAGACCAAAAAGCTATATTTTTGTCTCATCAGACCACATGACCTTCTCCCATTCCTCCTCTGGATCATCCAGATGGTCATTGGCAAACTTCAGACGGGCCTGGACATGCGCTGGCTTGAGCAGGGGGACCTTGCGTGCGCTGCAGGATTTTAATCCATGACGGCGTAGTGTGTTATTAATGGTTTTCTTTGAGACTGTGGTCCCAGATCTCTTCAGGTCATTGACCAGGTCCTGCCGTGTAGTTCTGGGCTGATCCCACACCTTCCTCATGATCATTGATGCCCCACGAGGTGAGATCTTGCATGGTGCCCCAGACCGAGGGTGATTGACCGTCATCTTGAACTTCTTCCATTTTCTAATAATTGCGCCAACAGTTGTTGCCTTCTCACCAAGCTGCTTGCCTATTGTCCTGTAGCCCATCCCAGCCTTGTGCAGGTCTACCATTTTATCCCTGATGTCCTTACACAGCTCTCTGGTCTTGGCCATTGTGGAGAGGTTGGAGTCTGTTTGATTGAGTGTGTGGACAGGTGTCTTTTATACAGGTAACGAGTTCAAACAGGTGCAGTTAATACAGGTAATGAGTGGAGAACAGGAGGGCTTCTTAAAGAAAAACTAACAGGTCTGTGAGAGCCGGAATTCTTACTGGTTGGTAGGTGATCAAATACTTATGTCATGCAATAAAATGCAAATTAATTACTTAAAAATCATACAATGTGATTTTCTGGATTTTTGTATTAGATTCCGTCTATCACAGTTGATGTGTACCTATGATAAAAAATTACAGACCTCTACATGCTTTGTAAGTAGAAAAACCTGCAAAATCGGCAGTGTATCAAATACTTGTTCTCCCCACTGTATATTGTGAATCGCCCATAAGTTTGAAAAAATGTAGATATTATTTTTAGGCCATATCGCCCCACCCTACCTCACTTATTATTTACAGTGTCACTGGTCAGGACCTCAGTCTCACCCGAAAGACTATGGGACTAATAATAATTCTGTAACGTTATGGATGTTTCAGGGAACAGTGCCCAAGTTGTTATAAGTGATTATAACCTGTTAATAGTGCAACGTCTCACCTTCTCCTGTTTATGAGGGATGGGAGCCATAGAGGTTGTGAACCCAAAGGACAGGGAGTCCAGAGCCTCATCTGTGCTCATGGGTTTCTGATACAAGTAAACAAACAAGCAAACAAATAACCTTAATTATACACAAAGCATTACAGTAACAGTTTTGTCTTCAAATCCACCACTAGAGAGCGTGTCAGACTAACGCCAAGCATTGAAAGGGGGCATATGTAAACCAGACCAGCAGGAAAAGAACCGACACACCCACCAATCACATTCCCCAGAATCTCAAAGTACTCCGCAAAGGACTCTGAGCAGACTTTTTACTTAACATCAGATTTATCGGTTTCAGTTGTCTTGTAAAAATGAATGATTTATAACCAATGGGAAACTCTAGACAACTCACTTTTGACAACATACTTCAGGGGTAAAAGAGTTTGCCTCATGTTCTATCAAGCTCTTAGACGCAGAGGTATACTACACAGAGAACTGCATTACAAAACAAGGTGTGACCCAGAGGGTCAATGTGTGTGTGTGTAGGTGTGTATAGGTGAATAGGTGTGGAGTAATGAGTGATTGTGTGTTGACTATGTATCTGTTGCTAGTGTGTGTGTGTGTTTATAAGTGATGGGTTTAGCAGAACTAGAGCCAGCTTGTTGAGGTGAGTCTAATGTTGTTTGCAGAGCCAACACCCCACAGTGCAATGCAACATTCCACACTGTAGAGGTACCCAAAACTGTCAAAAGAGACCATGGGATGGCCTATGGTTTGTTTAGTTAATTTACTGTGTTTGTGTGTGTGTGTGTGTGCGCACATTGGTGCGTGCACTAGTTAGTGGATATGTGAGGAAGATTGAGAGAAAGAGGAGATGGGGAAGTCAATATCTCAATATTTCTCCCCAGCAGACACTGCATTCCCTAGCAGTAAATACAATGACTTACCGGGACATCTTTTGGCTTGACATCTGCAACTGGGGCCTATGAAAAGTAAAACATACATTTTTATTCAAAATAACAAAAGTTCAATAATTACATATTTTAGTAGAGTAAGCCTAGATTTAAATAAAATCTGATCATGTTCTCAAAATAATGACAAAATAATATTCAAGGGTGGTAACTATACACAGGCTTTTTTGGCCTAGTCCAGAAATAAACCCTAGTCCAAGCCCTCTACGTTGCATCATATACATCTGAAAGAAAATGATAGATATGGTAGTAGTTCCATCTTGTCATCTGATCAGCTTGGAGAAACTGTGTCCATATTGATTACACCTATCCAGTCCTCTTAGATTAACACAAGTGTCCAGGGGATAAGACAGGGGCTAGGGGTTGTTTCTGGATGGGGCTTACAGCGCATTCGGAAAGTATTCCCTTGACTTTTTCCACATCTTGTTAAGTTACAGCCTTATTCTAAAATTTATTAAATTACTTTTTTTCCTTTTTGCAAATGTAAAAAACAAAAAAACCTGAAATACCTTATTTACATAAGTATTCAGACCCTTTGTATAAGACTCGAAATTGAGCTCAGGTGCATCCTGTCTCCATTGATCATCCTTGAGATGCATCTACAACTTGATTGGAGTCCACCTGTGGTAAATTCAATTGATTTGACATGATTCTGAGAGGCACACAACTGTCTATATAAAGGTCCCACAGTTGACAGTGCATGTCAGAACAAAAACCAAGCAATGAGGTCGAAGGAATTGTCCATAGAGCTCCGAGAGGATTGTGTCGAAGCACAGATCTGGGGAAGGGTACCAAAAAATGTCTGCAGCATTGAAGGTCCCCAAGAACACAGTTTGGAACCACCAAGACTCTTCCTAGAGCTGGCTGCCCGGCCAAACTGAGCAATCGGGGGAGAAGGGCCTTGGTCAGGGAGGTGCCCAAGAACCCGATGGTCACTCTGACAGAGCTCCAGAGGTCCTCTGTGGATATGGGAGAACCTTCCAGAAGGACAACCATCTCTGCAGTACTCCACCAGGCCTTTATGGTAGAGTGGCCAGAGGGAAGCCACTCCTCAGTAAAAGGCACATGACAGCCCACTTGGAGTTAGCCAAAAGGCACCTAAAGGACTCTCAGACCATGAGAGACAAGATTCTCTGGTCTGATGAAACCAAGATTGAATTATTTGGCCTGAATGCCACGCTTCACGTCTGGAGGAAACCTGGCACCATCCACACGGTGAAGCATGGTGGTGGCAGCATCATGCTGTGGGGGTCGAGGGAAAGATGAACGGAGCAAAGTACAGAGAGATCCTTGATTAAAACCTGCTCCAGAGCGCTCAGGACCTCAGACTGGGGCGAAGGTTCACCTTCAAACAGGACAACGACCCTAAGCACATAGCCAAGACAACGCAGGAGTGGCCTGTTTTTGCTTTCTCATTATGGAGTATTGTGTGCAGATTGATAACGGGGAAAAAATGATTTATTCCATTTAAGAATAAGGCTATAACGTAACAAAATGTGGAAAAAGTCAAGGGTTCTGAATACTTTCCGAATGCACTGTATCTCTCTGTTGGAAGACCTGATAACCAAGGGGTTCCAGACAAATGTGTCATGTCAAAGGGAGTACTGCAGTGCAAAGCTAAAGATACATGCAAACTCAAAGCTCTCTAAGAGCAATAGGCTGAGGGTTGGATGAAGATGAAGAAGTGATGATGATGTGCAGGAGCAGTAGGAAGAAGACTTGAGGAGGAGGGTGATTTAAAGACTGACCGTGTCCTCAAATCGGTATCCTGGGGGCAATGGGCAGTCTTTCCCCCCACATATCACTCCCTTCTTTGAGGTCAATCCATGCTGTGGACACATGCAACAACAACACACTGTTTTACATGGTGACCGGGTGGACACACATCATCACCCACACACACACACACACACTCTGTGAGGGTGCTGTACCTCTATCACCTCTGGCCCGGTGTATACAGGGGCTGCAGGGGCGAGAGGCTCTGATGAGGGCAAGAAATCAGCCAGGGCATCGAAGGGGTCCGCAGTAAGCTCCTACACATGATGCAACACAACTCAAACACGAGCAATGCAACTCCGTGCCATTCATTTTAGTGCAATATCAAACCCACATAGAGAAAAGATAGATCGCTGATTTACCTCTTTGGCTGCGTTAGCTCCTGGGGGACCTACTTCCACCTGTACCTGTAACCCAGAGCAGGAGAGGTTAGTGAATACAACACTAGGCTACTATCTGTGACACTGCTCAGCTCCTATACCCAACTGAGCTTCTGGATGGCTGTGGGCTCAATTCAACCAACCCCACATAGGTAGTACTCATGCAGGAACAAGATCTTCCTCTTTTTGCTGTAGTCAAATTTCAAAAGGCACTCGCACATCTGAGCTATCTTTGTTGCAGGTGCACTGTAACAATTGAATAACATGAGAAAAAATAAGAAACCCGCACACTGCTCTTGCTTGTATCACTGCTCTATGTTAAGCTTTTACGTATCAGCCTCAAGGCCTTCGTCAGAGCTCTGATAAAGAGCAGTGATACTAGCAAGAGCAGTGTGCGGGTTTCTTATTTTTTCTCCTGTAATCAAATAAAGTTGCAGAATGGTACAGCAATTGGCAGGTAGCCTAGCGGTTAAGAGCGTTGGGCCAGTAACCAAAAGGTTGCTGATTCGAATACCTGAGCCGACAAGGTGAAACATCTGTCGATGTGCCCTTGAGCAAAGCACTTAATTCTAATTGCTCCTGTATGTCGCTCTGGATAAGAGTGTCTGCTAAATGGCTAAAATGTAAAATGGTACAGCAGATATCCTTCACTACTTCCACTGCTTCCAAGTCCCTGTTACTGTGTCACTGTGTTAATTCATGATCTTGGTTACATTGTGTGAAAACAGTGAAAGAATGAAGATGACACAAACAAGTGATCAATGATAGCCCCCTAACCCCAGGGATAGCCCCACCCTCAAGAGCCTTGTACTGTAGCGTGGTTAATACCCCAACGTAGTCTGGAGTCTACCTTGGTCTGTGGCCCCTTCAGAGAGGCGTCTCCAGCCGCGACTGCTGGTGCAGCAACAGCCGTAACCAGCTTAGCAGGATCCTTTTTAGCCATGTCAACTTTGCTTGATGTGGTGGGCACACTCTATAAACGCATATGGTTCAGGCCATTAGACGAGGTGCAGAGAAGAGTTCAGAGAGCTGCGCATAATCTTACAGTCACAGTTTAGTGGAGTGATAGGATGATAGTTAGCACCTTATCTGTCAGAGGTAATGGAAAGGAAAGGCGCCGTGAGAAGAGAAGTACCTGAACCAAAATGTGTAGTCACAGTTTACTAGAGTAATAGGAAGGTAAACAAACCCAGAAGCAATACTAGATATGGTGTGATGCAACCAGAAGAAAAAGTAAAGGTGGAAATATATTGTGGCTTCTCTGTGGTGACAACAGATGTGACAGACTTGGAAGACATGGTTTGTCTTGATGTGTTAAGCGTAACATAAAGTGTAGGCAAGCTGGGAAGACTCAGTCATAGAGCTTAAGAGTGTCTGTTCAATTCCTACTTAGACAAACATACACCTCCAGGCCAGAAGTAAGGAAGTCCAAAGCAGAGATATGTTTTGAAATATATCGCCAGAGAGAATATGAAGATAGAATACCATATAAAGGGGTGGAAGAATGACTAAAACCTCAAGATCACGGGAGAGATGATGAGGAAGACATAACACATGGAATAATGACCCAGGAAGAGAGTGTTGAATGGGGAAGTGAGGTTAAAGAGAGCCAGGCCGGGCAAAGAATAAAGATCCAAAGAGAGAGGCCCCACACTCCTCAACTGTCTGCCATCTACCTTGGCTGTCTGTTTCGGAGACTCTTGGACCTTTGGTACTTCAGTTTTCCATGGAGTTGCCGCCTCCCCTACAATATTGCCTCCTCCAGTGGTAGGAGGTGTAGCTTTGGCTGGGTGCATGGGTGCCGTCTACAATCAAGAATGAGTTCAAACTCAATGTATACAACAGAAACAGAGCAAATTCAATGTATTGACACCCTGTAACAACTTTTTCATGTAATAACACTGGTTAATGTAATGACTTCACGTTCAGTATATCACAAAGAACAAGTTTTAAAAAACAGTGTCGCACTGTAGTGTGTGTATACGTCTGTGTGGTGTGTGTGTGCACATTTCAATGTGTGCTTGTGAGGGTGTCTGTATGATGTGCATGAGTTTGTCTGTGTTTGTGCATCGAATTAAGGGAAGTAAGTCAAAACATTGATTTTGGTATGTTATTACATTAACCGGCTTCATTACATAAAATAAATCATTAAAACTGTGTTATTACTTACATTAACCGTTGTTACAAATTCCTGAAATTCAATTATGTAAAGGTTAAAGGGGTCCAGTGAGTGTGAGGTGCAGGGGTTGTAAAAATGTAAAGTAGGGTCAAGTTGATCTAGGATCAGTTTTGCATTTCCTTCTCCTAAGATTAAGATTGCTTTATTGGTCAATTGCACACAAGGTCTAACCGAAATTTGACTTCTGCTTTTAACCCTACCCCTCCGAAAGACACATACATACAAATACATATAAAGGTTTTTTCGAAAGAATGGTGCTGGAGGGAATAGCAGACGTTTTACAGGCTCCTGACCAATTGTGCTATTTTGTATTTTTTGAGCTGATTTTAATTTATTTTGTACATAATGTTTCCACCATCGTTTCCTATGACGGAAAATAGATTTTGGACATCAAAACAGCGATCACTAACCTCGATTTGGATGAGGATTTATACTTCAATTAATTGGAGGCGAAGGACATACTGCTCATCCCAGACCAGGCCCAAATCCCAGACACTAGGAGGAGGAAGAGGCGGCGTTATAGAGGCCGGGGTGTGGGATACCTGACGAGACTACGTCGGTGAGTGGATAAACCGCCTCTACCCTCTGTTTTATTGGCGAATGTGCAATCACTGGAGAATAAATTGGATCAGCTCCGTTCGAGACTATCCTATCAACGTGATCTGAAGAACTGTAATATCCTATGTTTCACCGAGTCATGGCTGAACAAGGACATGGAAAATATAAATCGAGCTGGTTTTTCTATACATCGGCAGGACAGAACAGCAGCGCCGGGTAAGCTCGGGGGTGGGGGGTCTCTTCGTTAACAACAGCTGGCGTGCAATCTCTAATATTAAGGAAGTCTCAAGGTTCTGAGTTCGAATACCTCATGATAAGCTGTAGACCATACTATTTACCAAGAGTTTTCATCTTTATTTTTCTTAGCTGTCTATTTACCACCACCAACTGATGCTGGTACTAAGACCGCACTCAACGAGCTGTATAGGGCCATAAGCAAACAAGAAAATGCTCATCCAGAGGCAGCGCTCCTAGTGGCCGTTGATTTTAATGCAGGGAAACTGAAATATGCCAAAAGAATGTCTACCAGCATGTCACCTGTGCAACTTGAGGCGAATAGAAACTCTAGATCACCGTTACTCCACACACAGAGATGCATTCAAAGCTCTCCCTCGCCCTCCATTTGGCAAATCTGAACATAACTCTATCCTCCGGATTCCTGTTTACAAACAAAAACTCAAACAGGAAGTACCAGTGACGCTCAATACGGAAGTGGACCGATGAAGCAGATGCTAAACTAGTTGTGAGTAAGACCTTTAAACAGGTTAACATTCATTCACAAGGCCACAGGGCCAGACGGATTACCAGGACGCGTACTCAGAGCATGCGCTAACTAGCAGGCAAGTGTCTTCACTGACAGTTTCAACCTCTCCCTGACCCAGTCTGTAATACCTACATGTTTCAAGCAGACCACCATAGTCCCTCAAGGTAACCTGTCTAAATGACTATCTCCCCGTAGCACTCACATCTGTAGCCATGAAATGCTTTGAAAGGCTGGTCATGGCTCACATCAACACCATCATCCCAGACACCCTGAACCAACTCCAATTCGCATACTGCCCCAACAGATCAACAGATGATGCAATCTCTGATTACACTCCACACTGCCCTTACCCACCTGGACAAAAGGAACACCTACATGAGGAGGCTGTTCATTGACTACAGCTCTGCCATAGTGCCCTCCAAGCTCATCACTAAACTAAGGACCCTGGGATTAAACACCACCCTCTGCAACTGGATCCTGGACTTCCTGACAGGCCACCCCCAGGTGGTGAGGGTAGGCAACAACACATCCACCACGCTAACCCTCAACAAGGGGGCCCCTCAGGGGTGCGTGCTTCGTCCCCTCCTGTACTTCCTGTTCACCCATGACTGCGTGGCCGCGCACAACTCCAACGCCATCATTTAGTTTGATACAATGGCCGTAGGCCTGATCACCGACGACGATGAGACAGCCTACAGGGAGGTCATAGACCTGGCAGTGTGGTGCCAGGACAACCTCTCCCTCAACGTTAGCAAGACAAAGGCGCTGATCGTGGACTACAGGAAACGGAGGGCCGAGCACGCCCCCATTGACATTGATGGGGCTGTAGTGGAGTGGGTCCTCTGTGTCCACATCTCTGAGGACCTATCATGGTCCAAACACACCAACACAGTCGTGAATAGGGCATGGCAACGCCTGTTCCCCCTCAGGTGTCTGAAAAGATTTGGCATGGGCCCTCTGATCCTCAAAAAGTTATACAACTGCACCTTGATTGGCTGCATCACCGCTTGGTATGGCAACTGCTTGGCATCCGACCGCAAGGCGCTACAGAGGATAGTGCGTACGGCCCAGTACATCACTGTGGCCGAGCTCCCTGCCATCCAGGACCTCTACACCAGGCGGTGTCAGAGGAAGGCCCTAAAAATAGTCAAAAACTCCAGTCACCCAAGTCATAGACTGTTCTCTCTGCTACCGCACGGCAAGCGTTACCGGAGCGGCAAGTCTGGGACCAAAAGGCTCCTGAACAGCTTCTACCCCTAACCATAAGAATGCTGAACAGTTCATCAAATGGCTACCCGGACTATTTGCATTGACCACTTTACTCTGCATTGTTGGGAAAGGGCTCGTAAGTAAGCATTTCACGGTACACCTGTTGTATTCGGCGCATGCAACAAATAAAATGGTATTTGATTTGACAGGTTTTGGAGAGGTTCGGGGAGCTGCCACACAAGCCTCAGGTTGCCAGCTCACTTCCCGCCAGATTTTTCCCGTCGCCCACAGCAGTTATGGTTAAGTTAGGCATTTGAGGAGAGTAAGCTGATCCTAGATATGTGTATATGGGCAACATCTACCCGGAACTTAAAACCCAACAGCCATTCAGAGGTCACATACACAACAAGATTCCGAGGATGAAATCATTAACTATATTTAGGGGAGGGGTGTATGGAGTTACCGTTGGGGTGTCTTTAGGACTGCCTCTGGTCCCAGGTGTTGGTATGTCAATAATAGTAGCACCTGCTGCCGCAGCGTTAGGAGAGACAAGTGCCGTCTACAAACCAAGAAGCAGGCGCAGAACATATTATGGAAATGTGGTTGAGAAAGCGAGCCAACAACACACTTATGCACCATTCCAATGGACAGTGAAGAGCCCTAATCCCATTCTCCAGCATGTAAAATAGCACAATCAATCATTTAAGCTCTTTGAGGTCATGGTGAAGGGTGACGTAAGCAGATCTGAATGCACCATAGGTAAAGCTGTGAAGAAGTCAATGGTAGAGAGCCCAAGCAGCTGTAGACTTTGTGAATGAAGTGTTTCAGAGGATGAAGGTGAGCATGAAGAAAGAGAGGGATAAGAAATATTCCATGTAACAGACACCCATGTTAATGAGGGAAGGGGGTTAAGAACGTCAGAATATGCCAAGGTTGTCCCAAAGGACTCTCCATAGACCCAGCTATGTCAGTCTACCTCTGGTATCACCACTTTGGCCGTTCCTCTCTGTGTTGTCCCTGCTGTAGCAGGACTTCCTCCCGCTTTGGTACCACTTGCTGTGGCGCCACCCATTGTCACGGACACCGCCCCTGGCTTTGTAGTCATGGTCGAGGCGGCAGATGCACTCTGTAATGCAACAAGGATTGTGATTGGCTCGGTCACATGATTACTTTCAGCTTGCCTTATCCAATTGCTTCTCTATTTCATTCTGTGCCTTGTGATCGAACAACAAATGACTGAGAAGAAGAAAAACATAGGAAAGTAAAAATGATCATAAAGTCTGTACAGATGTATTCGGTACTATACATAACCATGTGCGTACAGATGTAGGATCTTAATTTGAGCCAGTTTGCTACAGCAGGATAATAATCCTGCAGCAACAGGAAATGTTAATTATTATGTGGATTATAATTAATGGACATTTTTGGAGGGGTTGATACATTTTTCGTAAGGTAAAATCAAGTCGGAAATATAAAAGTAGAAGTTACAAACTTCAGAATCCTTTTTAAACCTAAAATCTTAAATGTTCTGCATTGCAGGAATGTTATCCTGCAACAGGGTGATCAAATTAAGATCCTACATCTGTATATAGGTATGCAGCACATGCCTGTGTATGATACAAGTGAAACCTGAGTAGCTCTCCTGTGTAGCAAACCGTCTGTCACTGCTTCACAAGCCAAACTAATTTTAACCGGAAGGAGGGCACCTCAAGGTCAAGTTCTTATAAGGGGCATCTATAAAGCTCTAGTCTAGGGGTAAGGTCTTTGACTCAAATAACCTTAAACACCCTTATCAATCATCATTATCCCATACACTCAATACTGTATGTCAGCTTAGGTGACATAACTATCATGGTTAAATGTGACTATGTTGACATAACACACCACACTGAAACACATAGTCTGTTTTGAAAAATAGCTTTGCACGTTCAACCAAAGCCTGTCCCTGGGTTTCACGCAGAGGCAGATACCAGAATAAGTGACATTTTATGTTGCGTTGTCATGGAAGAGGCCCAAAGGGGGAGTTGAGCGACACGTGAATACGCCACCACAGGTTGGCATCTCGTCCCTATGCCATCACCATGGCATTGTCTGGGCATAGACTTTTGGAATAAATTCAGGGAAGAGATTCAGACAACTGATTTAACTTCTCTGGGTAAACCAGTTCTGTAATCCCTTTGTCCTGAGTGGTCAACGACACAACAAACACCTAAACCCATGTTGAAATGTTGGTTGCGCTTTGATTAAAACCCATTTATAAGAAAACGTTCAGTCCCCCCACAGCCCACCCAATTTCCACAACAACTAAAACATTAAACCAAAAGAACAGTTTGTCCAATCTGTTAAGGCCCTGTTGTTGTTGTTGTTGTCACTATTATTATTATTATTATAAATATTGGGCTGGAAACCAGTTAAAGAAGGTGCAGTACAATGTGTGCCGACTAGAGGCGTTCTCTTTCCTTAATCGTTCTATTTTCTGGAGAGAGACCAACTAGCAGAGAGTTCTACAGCGTGGAGCTTTTGCACTGACAGAAGTAGGGATCAGATTGACTGTTGTGCGTGTCTATCTAAGCTGGTCCTAATAATAGAACTTAGAAAGCAATTACCTTGTGGTTTGTACAGTATGTCATATTTCTTAACAACCTATGTCTGGAGCTCAACACATTTACAGAGTCAAGAATTTTAAAAACTTTCCCAAGGAAGTGCTGCATGTTTTCCCTCAATAAAGCCAAGCACATAACAATAACAAGCATACAGGTACATTACCAAGCCTCCTGAACATATAGAACGTATAGAACATATAGAACGTATTGAACATATAGAACATATAGAACATATAGAACGTATAGAACATATAGAATAATTCAGGATATGTTTAAAACATTTCAGTTGGAAGAATTTGCTGAGCTGAATAACATAAGCCTGTATTTAATTCTTAAGCCATTCTTCTACTCCCTGCAGATTTGGGTGTGACCAATCCTTTGCCTGATTGGGTCACACTACTCTGTTGAAACAGGAAAGACATTAATAGTACCAAACATCGCCCAAAGAAGGGGTCAAAGGTCAAATAGACTGGAAGCCAGATTGGTCTAAGACCTATTCCAAAGAAAAGGTGATGCCTGAGCAAAGTTAGAGGTGTGTGTTAAAGTTACCTCAAATTGTGCTGGATTCACGGCGACCTGTGCCACAGAAGTGGGTGAGTACTGTCTGGGCTGCGACTGGAGGAAGGGAGGGGGGAGGGGAGAGAGAGCGAGAGAGAGAGAGAGAGAGAGAAAACACAAACAGGAATCGTTGTCACTCATAGTATAAAACACAGACTTGATCATTGTCAGAATCATTGATGCCATAATGCATAACATTCCATGCTGCTCAAATGTCTGGATATAGAACAAAATAATTAATGATGCAGTACCATTTCCTCACACACATTCTGCATGACAAGAGAAACATCACATGTAGCAATCCTGTTCCATTGATAAAATGACCAATGGTTCTACGTATATTCACTAGCGGTGGGCCACTATATATAAATTAATATAGGGGAAACACTGGTGTGTGTGTCATAATTTAATCAAAACAGTTTGCCTACGGACTTCTATACAGCGGTTTCTCATAATATTACATAACCAGGCGGATCCCATTTCCCACTGTTTTGTGTATATGGAATGCACACATTGTGACTGAAGCATTAATAGTCAGTTACAAACATTGCAGGTTTGAGGAATGCAGAAACCAGGTAGAGTATGTTAAAGAGAACCCTTTCAGTGGTGGTGACCCACAGGGCAAGAAGCCCACCCATACTGGCTATGTCCCAGGGTTACAGCACAGCAGAATCTATTTCTTATTCTTTGAGTCCCAAGAATGTGTGTGAGTCTGTCATGCCCAGATAAGTACTGTATCTTTAAGTTTTAGAGCGAACCAAGTGGTCAAGCCGGCTCATTATTCTACATTACAGAGAGATGGCTGGGAGATAAAGACAGACAGATGGAGAGAGAGAGGAAGAGTGACAGTGAGGTTGAGATCTTACTAGTCAAACTGTATACTAAATTCTTACTAGTGAAATACTGTACTATATTAATACTATACTACTATACTTTCAGATTAACTTTATTTTGCCATACTACACTACTTGAAGATGATTACTGTTGTTCACTAACAATATTACTTCATCTACAGTATGTCCAGTGGGAGGACAGTGGTGTTGACTCACTTGACAAAAACCTTGTTGAATACTCGCTAAGCGCTTTAGTCACTTTGCCCTTCAGCCAATACTAAGAAGCCAAATGAGGCCTAGGCCACGTTCAAATACCATATAAATGCTTTCTTCCCTCTTTTTCCTTGAGGCAATCACTGATTTGTACATGATTAGATAAGAGAAATCATGGTTAATAGCCTGCTGTTTTCACCAACCCAATCTTGTGTTGATCAGTTAGTGATGATCAGTAATGAACTTCAAAGAAGGAAGGGAAGGGAGGATGCATCTTTAAAATATTGGAACAAGTCCCCATTCGGGTTGGGAGGAAGTAGGGAGGGAGGGGCTGAAAAAAGGTTGACAAGTAAAGCTGCCCTCCTTTTGGATAAATATTTGGGCGCTAGGCAACACACCAGAATCTGCAGGCAAAAGAAAGGGCGGTGTCTTGGCATGGCACAGGGCCATACTGACTGGCTCATCTTTTGGAAACCAAATAAATAATCAGTATGTTATCTGTGTCCATCTCTATGTTGACAAAATATCCCAGAGACATTTATTTAAATGCTGTTCAAATATTACCCATGTTTACTTTAAATTGAATTACAGACTATGGTTGATAAAAACAAATATTTTGTTGAGGTGGAAAACAAAACACAAAACATATGTTTAATGAAAGGCATTTGGCTACACTTGTAGTCATGTGATCATGGCAGCCAAGGAACATGGCGGTCTCACCGCCAGCTTTCTCCTCTGTCTTCCAACCAACAGCACACAACACAGGAAGTGGTTTTTGTGTGTAAAAACAAACCACACTTCTCATTTCTAATGTAACACAAACCCTGACAAGGAACCACACTAACATTGCCCCTCTGCTCTGGCGTCCATATTTTATGTTATTGTTGGCTATTCAAGTCATGCCCAACCTATTAGCATGTAAGCTAGCCATGTTAAACCTACCACAGTGTCTTAGCTCTTGATTCAATGTCAAAAAGTACACGCCAGACCTCAACTCAAAGACATCAGTTGGACTCACTACACAAGGGTAATGATGAACAGCATTTAGGTTTAGGTTTTATTCCCCCAAAATAAGACAAAAGTAAAAGATAAAACATCATTCTTTTTTTGTACATTGCACACTTGGCCAATATCCATGCATTTTCTCCTCTGGTGAGCTAACTACTAGCTAGACCGGTTAGGCTAACTCACCTAACTACTCATACACTTTTTATTAGAGGCAGGTAGATAAACAACAGTCAATCTTTTAGCATACACCCATGAAGAACCACACAATGCATTGGGAGGGTAGCGAATACAGGGCAGGTACCAGTCAGCATAAGAACATGCACTCAGGCATTGTCTCTGTGACAACCGTGACAGTACAGGTGAAACCAGCCAACCACACCAATGCATCTATCAGGCTCCAACCTAAACAGTGACATAAAATGCCAGTAACAGTCACTTTTACTGCTGATTGTGATAGGAGTCTAAACTATTGAAGGTAGGCATACTTCATGAGTATAACCCAGTATTCAAATGTTTTACTGACTAGCCATTGTTGTTACTGCTGCTAAAACACGATTGAGGCTAATGTGATAAAGGCCTTTATTTTTCAAACAGCCCTTACAGAAAAAGGGCATTATCATCATTTTCAAAATTGTAGTGTTATTTCAACCTCAGTGTGGAAATATCATTTAAAAAACTGGAATCATGTTTTTAACTGCACTGTTCCATTAAAAGGCCAAACATGGTTACCATAACCAGTGGCAAAACTTCTGTACTACTGCTTATCAGAAAGTAGCAAAACACTAATATTGATTAACTAAGGGCTAACCAAACATTATTCCAGCAAAACAAAGAGTAGCAAAATCGCTATCATTGCTAATCAAACATGACCAAAACACTATTAGTGATTAGAAGTCCAACCAATCCAAAACGGCATCACCTTATCTGAGGGTAAAACATGGTTTATTTTGCTCACCAGATTCTGATCAAGTGTTCCTCCAGCTCACCTGAGACTCACCCAAAGTCTCAGAGTTCGTCTATCTCTCTGCGTTAGAGAACGACCAAGCTGATTTTCGGCCTGATAGTGGCCTTTTCTAATCTATCGGCCCATTAACAAAACTCCTGGTAAACCAGGCGCCACCTCAGCACAACACAATGCAGAGGAATGTCATCTGGGAAAATAAGCAGCAAGCTAACGTTAGCTCATTCTCCAACAGAAAGGTGCAGTATTGAGAAATTGATTGACACAGTGACCAAAATTGAACTGTTGCAAATATTAGTTTAGTTAATTCACTAATAATAATTATCGTGTCGACGTGCCCGGATATGCATGCAATAAGCAAGTTAGCTAAGCAGATAGCTATGTGACCTGTTAGCAAAGATTACGATAACTAACCCTTTCATCTGTGGTGTTAGCTATATTAGCTATTATGTTAGCTAGCTGGCTAGATAAACATGGTGCTAAGATATCAGATAGGAGCTAATAGCCAATGTAGCTAGCTGACGTTAGCTGATTATTATTTTGAACACCATTATTTTGAGCACCATTTTCGTCAACGAGCCATTTCACTTGCAGTGTAACATTAGCTATTATACTGGTGTGCTGATCTGACCAGCCGCAATCGTATCCGTAAATTGAAAGTTGATTGTTAGATTTCTATTTTTATGCCTAAATAAAGATTGGCAATAGGTTTACCTACCTAAGAATCTTCCTGTATGTTTATGGACCAAGAAAGCTATAGATCAGCGCGTGTGTGTGCGCGTTCTTACTTCTCAAACTATGTTTGGGCAGATTTTAGTCATTTAGATAAAACGTACATCGTCATTTCATCTTTTTTCCTATCCTCGCGCTCCTTGGTAGATATTATGCACATTATGAAAAAAATATATATTTTAAAAAATGTATGCACTCTGGATAAGAGCGTCTGCTAAATGACTAAAATGTAAATGTATGGTTTGGTAGCACATGTCATCGCTACTTATAGTTGCAGTGAACTGCAGCAAGTGACATGAGAGATGTGAAAGGCAGTGGAGTTACAGCCTCGCTTTATCTAATCGTAGCAGTAGGTTCAAGTTCCAACCCGCCCATTTCTTGACAGATACCTGAACTAGTCCATTTATTTTTCTAATTTCGTCCTGGCAGCTGAGTTGTTTAGATGCGTCATGACAGCTTAAACAAAAAAAAATCCCCGATCACGGAAAATGACAAAAAATACTACTTTCATAAGCATCCGTGATCACAAATCATGACGTTACGTTGAAGCCATTTGCATTGAATTGATGTTATTTTATATTCTCAAACTAACACCAGTGCCTATACAGTATGATGACATACAGGCGTGACATGCTGGAGTGATGCTTCTATGCAGATATTGTTGATCAGTAGGCTTATATAAGTGCCAAATGGAAGGCAAACAGATTGTTTGTCATCTGTAGCACCATAGACTCCACTAATTAGCCCAAACAAGCTCAATAAATCAATAATAATATGCCATTTAGCAGACGCTTTTATCCAAAGCGACTTACAGTCATGCGTGCATACATTTTTTTTTTTGTGTATGGGTGGTCCCGGGGATCGAACCCACTACCTTGGCGTTACAAGCGCCGTGCTCTACCAGCTGAGCTACAGAGGACCACAATCAATGCATGCACACACTCCTATTGAACATGCATCCACCTGTAGTTGAGTAGGCCTATGCCATCTTCATTTACCCAGTTTATCAAGAGATTTACCATTCAAATAAAATTATTACCATTATGTTATGTAGTTAGATTGGTAAAAACAAAGTCAAATGTATTGTTTGATTTTAAAATTGATGCATTAATGGCTGTCTCTGGGAAAGTGTAATACAATTTTTTTTTTATGATGTTGAATATCGGCCATTTTTGACCCCCAAAAATCAGTATTGACATCGGCCCTAAAAAATCCATATCAGTAGTTCTCTAATCTGCATCCAACGTATTTGCAACATTCCTACATTCCTCATTCCAAAGTCACCAGGTCTGTGGGAGGTAACCAAGACTAACATGCTAAATGCTAGCCTCCATGACAGGCCATTGTTTACAGTCAATAAACTGTTCTTGTACACACTCAGTACATGACAGATAGACAAAATCCAGCTCTAATGCTTTATAACTTGTGTATGAGCCTTTGTAATGTGTTATAACAAGGTTTAATATGTTATTATAATTTTTCAACTGTCTCAAATTGGCTGTTATTT